AATTTACAATAATAAAAGTGGAATAGGGAATGGCTTTCCTTATAAGTTTGGAGTAAAATAGAGCAAAAGCTTCATACAAACTTTATTTCTATCATAAAAAAATAAATATTATTGGTGCTGTTTGACAAGAATTATTTCTATTTAGTGTCGAAGAATAAACATTGAGAATAACTTAAAGTAATCTTTGAGAAATATTAATTGAAAAAGCTAATCATTGACAGTTGATAAGAAATGTTGCTTGAAAGTTGAAATATAGTGTTTAGTTTGAAGTAGTAAAAATAGATGAAGAGTGTTAACTGATGTTGAAAAAGAGTTAAAAAAGTTTAACTCAAAATAAATTATTTACAATTAGTAACATTTATAAAAGCTTATCAGTTATTTTCCAGATAGTTGAGTTATAGAATATACAAAATTCTAATAAGTTTATGGTATGTAATTAATAAATAACTTCTAAGAATATGTATTTACTTTAAATTAATCATTAAATTTTTTTACAAGAATTCTGATACTAGAATGTAGTCTAAACAATTGAGATGTTAATGAATCAATTTAGTAGTTTGTATTTTTTAATTTGTAATGAAGGACTAAATGAAATTGTTATAGATTAGCTAAATTCTAATGGGAGGATAATCTCTAACCTACTTCTGCAAGCACATTTGGAAAAAAGTTTTCAAAAGTTGCAAAAAATCCAAAATATTAATTTAATATATCAATAACTAACTAAAAAATAATGACTTGTAATAATTTCTTTGCAAAAAAAAAAATTACATTTCAATTAACATATAATTATATATTAAAGTTTTAAATTAAAAAAGATGAGCTTCAAAAGGACTTATAGTCATAAATAAACCCAAGGTTACACATCATTGGATGGCAGTTAATAGTTCACATGTAGTAAATATTCAGCTTCAAATTAGAATAAGAAAAATATAATTTCTATAATGCAGTTTTATTTATGTTATATTGTTAAGAATTTCATCATCATTTGAGCATTCAATAAAAACTGATGACAAACTCCTAATCATATTGTTTAACTGTTTGTAAAAATAGTAAAAAAAAATGATACAAAGTAAAGATTTTAAGATTTGCCCATAATCATTTGTGTTTGAAATCTGATAAAATTTATTATGCTTGATTTAGATATAGAACAGTTTATTAAAATTTTTTTAGGATTAGATTGTTTTTTTTTGATATTAACGGATTTATTATATTTGTTATGAAATTATAAATTGTATCATTTTTGAATAAATTATTATATTGTGCTTTAATTTTCCAGAGAATATTTATATTAGTTTAATATATATGATTAACTTAAAACTAATATTATTAATAATAATTAGAATAAAATGTCTTCTCTTGTTCATGAAAGTGTATATGAAGGAAACTAACCAATAGAAACAGAATTCAATGTAGTTTTTATTAATGGACCAGAATCATAAATAATAGAAATGAAATTTTCATCTGTATAATAAATTCTGATTTTAGGATTAAAATTTCATCCTACTAGCAACAGAAGAAGGATTTAAATTATATAACTTGCAAAAAGATGAACTTATTATTAATGAAGAAAATATTAAATTAGGAAAAATTTACTCGATTGACTTCTTTGATAACTCAGTTATTGTATTTGTAATTGGATTAGATTAAAATATTGTTATTTGGGATTATAATTAAAGGTAAGTTATTAAAAAATATCCTATCCTTTAAGCCCCATAATAGATTTCATTTTGTAATCCATTTATAATTGCAGGAATTAAATAATTAAATGAGAATGTTATTTTAGTATTAAATGTAAGAACTGATTAAGCTTATCGATATTTATATACATAAAACTTAAATGGAGAGATAATTTATGCTAATAATAATAATCATTTTAATTGCCTATTAACTTATCTAAATATATAAGGAAATTATTTAATCATTGATTTTTTACATTATCAAACATTGTAAGGACTCAATATTAAAACAATCACTGCAATGTCAGATGATCAAATCATTGAATATTAACAGTAATCTCAATCCAAACAATAAACTACATCCTAATTTAGATCTTATTCTAGTGTTGGTTACATTTAGACTTGTATAGCTATATCTAGTGATAGCAATTTACTTGCCATTTCACCGTTAGTTGACAACTAAAGAATATATATTTTTAGTATATCACCTTCAGAACAACCAAAGCTGAAATATCATTTATATCGAGGATAAACTAAAAAAATATTGAGCTTATATTTTGGACCGAATGAGATGCTTGCATGTATTAGTTTTTAAAATAACATTCATAAAACTAAAAATGATGCAACCATTCATTTATATTATAAAATGAAAGAAATATTGGAAAACGAAAATAAAGATTAAAAGAGTTTAACAAGATTATATTTTAGAACTTAATCAAGTGAAATTACTCATTAAAAAAGAACTCGATTAATGTTGCTTTTAATTAACAAGGAAAAATTATAAGTTTTTTCTGGAAATCAATTTAAATTTGAGGAGTAATTGTAATTGGACTCTAATTTAGTAAGTAAAGGGATAGAAAATTATATTTTNAAAGCTTATCAGTTATTTTCCAGATAGTTGAGTTATAGAATATACAAAATTCTAATAAGTTTATGGTATGTAATTAATAAATAACTTCTAAGAATATGTATTTACTTTAAATTAATCATTAAATTTTTTTACAAGAATTCTGATACTAGAATGTAGTCTAAACAATTGAGATGTTAATGAATCAATTTAGTAGTTTGTATTTTTTAATTTGTAATGAAGGACTAAATGAAATTGTTATAGATTAGCTAAATTCTAATGGGAGGATAATCTCTAACCTACTTCTGCAAGCACATTTGGAAAAAAGTTTTCAAAAGTTGCAAAAAATCCAAAATATTAATTTAATATATCAATAACTAACTAAAAAATAATGACTTGTAATAATTTCTTTGCAAAAAAAAAAATTACATTTCAATTAACATATAATTATATATTAAAGTTTTAAATTAAAAAAGATGAGCTTCAAAAGGACTTATAGTCATAAATAAACCCAAGGTTACACATCATTGGATGGCAGTTAATAGTTCACATGTAGTAAATATTCAGCTTCAAATTAGAATAAGAAAAATATAATTTCTATAATGCAGTTTTATTTATGTTATATTGTTAAGAATTTCATCATCATTTGAGCATTCAATAAAAACTGATGACAAACTCCTAATCATATTGTTTAACTGTTTGTAAAAATAGTAAAAAAAAATGATACAAAGTAAAGATTTTAAGATTTGCCCATAATCATTTGTGTTTGAAATCTGATAAAATTTATTATGCTTGATTTAGATATAGAACAGTTTATTAAAATTTTTTTAGGATTAGATTGTTTTTTTTTGATATTAACGGATTTATTATATTTGTTATGAAATTATAAATTGTATCATTTTTGAATAAATTATTATATTGTGCTTTAATTTTCCAGAGAATATTTATATTAGTTTAATATATATGATTAACTTAAAACTAATATTATTAATAATAATTAGAATAAAATGTCTTCTCTTGTTCATGAAAGTGTATATGAAGGAAACTAACCAATAGAAACAGAATTCAATGTAGTTTTTATTAATGGACCAGAATCATAAATAATAGAAATGAAATTTTCATCTGTATAATAAATTCTGATTTTAGGATTAAAATTTCATCCTACTAGCAACAGAAGAAGGATTTAAATTATATAACTTGCAAAAAGATGAACTTATTATTAATGAAGAAAATATTAAATTAGGAAAAATTTACTCGATTGACTTCTTTGATAACTCAGTTATTGTATTTGTAATTGGATTAGATTAAAATATTGTTATTTGGGATTATAATTAAAGGTAAGTTATTAAAAAATATCCTATCCTTTAAGCCCCATAATAGATTTCATTTTGTAATCCATTTATAATTGCAGGAATTAAATAATTAAATGAGAATGTTATTTTAGTATTAAATGTAAGAACTGATTAAGCTTATCGATATTTATATACATAAAACTTAAATGGAGAGATAATTTATGCTAATAATAATAATCATTTTAATTGCCTATTAACTTATCTAAATATATAAGGAAATTATTTAATCATTGATTTTTTACATTATCAAACATTGTAAGGACTCAATATTAAAACAATCACTGCAATGTCAGATGATCAAATCATTGAATATTAACAGTAATCTCAATCCAAACAATAAACTACATCCTAATTTAGATCTTATTCTAGTGTTGGTTACATTTAGACTTGTATAGCTATATCTAGTGATAGCAATTTACTTGCCATTTCACCGTTAGTTGACAACTAAAGAATATATATTTTTAGTATATCACCTTCAGAACAACCAAAGCTGAAATATCATTTATATCGAGGATAAACTAAAAAAATATTGAGCTTATATTTTGGACCGAATGAGATGCTTGCATGTATTAGTTTTTAAAATAACATTCATAAAACTAAAAATGATGCAACCATTCATTTATATTATAAAATGAAAGAAATATTGGAAAACGAAAATAAAGATTAAAAGAGTTTAACAAGATTATATTTTAGAACTTAATCAAGTGAAATTACTCATTAAAAAAGAACTCGATTAATGTTGCTTTTAATTAACAAGGAAAAATTATAAGTTTTTTCTGGAAATCAATTTAAATTTGAGGAGTAATTGTAATTGGACTCTAATTTAGTAAGTAAAGGGATAGAAAATTATATTTTATGGCCAAAAGCTGATCCATATTGAATTATATTTGACCAATAATTTAATAAACATTCTTCATAATTTAATGTTATTTTAATTAAAAAAACTGCTAAATTAACTCATTATATCTGAACTTTTTATAATTTGTTTTTCTTGTTAATATTAAAAAAATTCATTATTAGCTAGTGTAATTTTGTATCCCAAAAAATAATTAGGCTAATCAAGTCCTAAGCATAAGATTTTCAGCTCAAAAATTAAAAATTTAATATATTTAATACATATTATTGATGATTCTAACTGGTAGAAGAAAATCGGAAAAAATACTCTCAAAATCATTAAGACCTTCCTTATTTTTAAATGAATTCGATTTATCATCTATGCTCTAAACATCTTCAGTGAAAACAGAAGGTAATATTAAATCTGTCTCAAAAACAGAAGCATAACCAATTCAAAGTTCATTAAGTGTGATTCCTGAAAACCCCACTTTTTCAATGTTACCCCAAATAGAAGAGAAATTTGTTCTAAAATCCAAAGAAGTTAATTTTTCTAAAGAAAAAAGAGAATCAAAACTTTTAAAAAACCTGGCTTCTGAATAATTATTACAATAATCAAAGCTTGATCTTAAGTTGCCACTTATATAGCAAAGTCCATAAATTAAGTCATTGCCTAGGCATTCTNTTATTTATGTTATATTGTTAAGAATTTCATCATCATTTGAGCATTCAATAAAAACTGATGACAAACTCCTAATCATATTGTTTAACTGTTTGTAAAAATAGTAAAAAAAAATGATACAAAGTAAAGATTTTAAGATTTGCCCATAATCATTTGTGTTTGAAATCTGATAAAATTTATTATGCTTGATTTAGATATAGAACAGTTTATTAAAATTTTTTTAGGATTAGATTGTTTTTTTTTGATATTAACGGATTTATTATATTTGTTATGAAATTATAAATTGTATCATTTTTGAATAAATTATTATATTGTGCTTTAATTTTCCAGAGAATATTTATATTAGTTTAATATATATGATTAACTTAAAACTAATATTATTAATAATAATTAGAATAAAATGTCTTCTCTTGTTCATGAAAGTGTATATGAAGGAAACTAACCAATAGAAACAGAATTCAATGTAGTTTTTATTAATGGACCAGAATCATAAATAATAGAAATGAAATTTTCATCTGTATAATAAATTCTGATTTTAGGATTAAAATTTCATCCTACTAGCAACAGAAGAAGGATTTAAATTATATAACTTGCAAAAAGATGAACTTATTATTAATGAAGAAAATATTAAATTAGGAAAAATTTACTCGATTGACTTCTTTGATAACTCAGTTATTGTATTTGTAATTGGATTAGATTAAAATATTGTTATTTGGGATTATAATTAAAGGTAAGTTATTAAAAAATATCCTATCCTTTAAGCCCCATAATAGATTTCATTTTGTAATCCATTTATAATTGCAGGAATTAAATAATTAAATGAGAATGTTATTTTAGTATTAAATGTAAGAACTGATTAAGCTTATCGATATTTATATACATAAAACTTAAATGGAGAGATAATTTATGCTAATAATAATAATCATTTTAATTGCCTATTAACTTATCTAAATATATAAGGAAATTATTTAATCATTGATTTTTTACATTATCAAACATTGTAAGGACTCAATATTAAAACAATCACTGCAATGTCAGATGATCAAATCATTGAATATTAACAGTAATCTCAATCCAAACAATAAACTACATCCTAATTTAGATCTTATTCTAGTGTTGGTTACATTTAGACTTGTATAGCTATATCTAGTGATAGCAATTTACTTGCCATTTCACCGTTAGTTGACAACTAAAGAATATATATTTTTAGTATATCACCTTCAGAACAACCAAAGCTGAAATATCATTTATATCGAGGATAAACTAAAAAAATATTGAGCTTATATTTTGGACCGAATGAGATGCTTGCATGTATTAGTTTTTAAAATAACATTCATAAAACTAAAAATGATGCAACCATTCATTTATATTATAAAATGAAAGAAATATTGGAAAACGAAAATAAAGATTAAAAGAGTTTAACAAGATTATATTTTAGAACTTAATCAAGTGAAATTACTCATTAAAAAAGAACTCGATTAATGTTGCTTTTAATTAACAAGGAAAAATTATAAGTTTTTTCTGGAAATCAATTTAAATTTGAGGAGTAATTGTAATTGGACTCTAATTTAGTAAGTAAAGGGATAGAAAATTATATTTTATGGCCAAAAGCTGATCCATATTGAATTATATTTGACCAATAATTTAATAAACATTCTTCATAATTTAATGTTATTTTAATTAAAAAAACTGCTAAATTAACTCATTATATCTGAACTTTTTATAATTTGTTTTTCTTGTTAATATTAAAAAAATTCATTATTAGCTAGTGTAATTTTGTATCCCAAAAAATAATTAGGCTAATCAAGTCCTAAGCATAAGATTTTCAGCTCAAAAATTAAAAATTTAATATATTTAATACATATTATTGATGATTCTAACTGGTAGAAGAAAATCGGAAAAAATACTCTCAAAATCATTAAGACCTTCCTTATTTTTAAATGAATTCGATTTATCATCTATGCTCTAAACATCTTCAGTGAAAACAGAAGGTAATATTAAATCTGTCTCAAAAACAGAAGCATAACCAATTCAAAGTTCATTAAGTGTGATTCCTGAAAACCCCACTTTTTCAATGTTACCCCAAATAGAAGAGAAATTTGTTCTAAAATCCAAAGAAGTTAATTTTTCTAAAGAAAAAAGAGAATCAAAACTTTTAAAAAACCTGGCTTCTGAATAATTATTACAATAATCAAAGCTTGATCTTAAGTTGCCACTTATATAGCAAAGTCCATAAATTAAGTCATTGCCTAGGCATTCTAGATAATTTACTAATGAAGATCTTAAAAAAGTTGAATTTAGACCCTCAATTATGGTTATTGACTTTATAAATAATATTGTAAAAAAAGACTAAATTGATGGAAGTTCAAAACCTTTGACAAAGAAAGTATAGAGATAACAAACTAGATTTGTTAAATAAAGTTTATGATTGTATTAATCTTAAAGCTTAAATCTTATTTTATATTTTTTTAATAATAATTAAAAAATTTCCATTAATTTAATTAAGTTTAGCATTCAGCATATAATATTATTTAATGTGTTTTTTGATAAAGGTTTTCGAAGGTACTTAAGTCTGCCTTTAGATATTCTTTTAGAACGAATTATTATTGTACACATATTTTTGGAGATCCTTTTTATCTGAAAAATCCAATTATTAAAAATGTATTTTTTAATTAATATAAAGATTAGAAAACCTTTTTGAAAGAAATCATTCAAACTTTATTAATATAAAAGCTTAATTATATTTTAGATATGATTAGATTGAGTCTAATTATTTTTGGAATAAAATAAAATTTAAGATCATTCTTATTATTAAATCGAAATAAAATAGATAACAATAATCAATTATTTTCTGTCCCTTCATTAAAAAGATATGGGTAAGCTTTTTTTTCCCTTAATTTGAGAACTACTAACAAAATTAACAAATGTCTAATTTATTAATCTTTAGATAGTGAAAATATTTTAGTAGATGAAAATGATCGTATAATATTGAATCTTTGCCAAATTAGTTTAAAAATAAAAAAAACAATTTGATTTATAAATATTTCAACATCAGTAAATAGTCATCTATAATCAGATTTTTAAAGAATTTTCTAAAATTATCCTCGTTTATTTATTCATTCTGTTTAGGAGCAATAGAGCCCTTGTTAAATTAATTTTGTATAATTTGTTAACATATTTGAGTCAAAATACATGTTAGATAAATAGAATTAATGATAAAAGCTATATAAAAATCAATCATCGTTCATAAGTCTTTGTAAGGTTTTTGATTTCTTCATACTTGCTTTTATGGATATTTACTTTTATTAATACTAAAACTAAATCTTTTTAATTATTCCATCATAGTTAAATATCGGAAAATAAATTGTCATTATGAATTGCTTATCAAGATCAAAATCACAATATTCAATTGTTCTTTCTTCTGCTTCTTCCATAATTATGACCATGTCATCATTTTCATTTGAATTTACATATTGAGCTTTAGATGTTCTGGAATTTAAAGTGCCTGCAACACTCGAAGAATTCTTTTTTTTTCTAGGACTAGCAGCAAGGCTAATTTATTTTTATAAACTTTTCTACTTATACAAACTTACACTAGCTTAACTTGTATAAGAAATTTTTTTATTAGATGTAATTCCTAGATTTTACTCAATACTTCTCCAGCTATCAAGTTTAGAATTTTTTCTTAATTCTTTAGATTCACTTAATTATGATTAGACGAATTAAATTCTTTTTTCAATATTCTAAGAGTTTTCCCTTTTAAGTTTTCGTAAAATAGTAGTGCTTTCAGGTTATTTAACATTTGCCTAAACATCCTTTTTTTTATTCATGCTTAATTTCTAAGAAATTTAAGGGGAAGGTATTGATTAATGAGGAACGATTGGCGGCATTTGGCCACTATAAGTTAATACATCATTAGAAAAACTATCACTTTATTTTCTTAGATTATCTTTATTTGTATTGCTTTTAACAGTGAATGTATCATTAAGAGCAGTCTACTCTCTTTAAGTATTTTATCTTTATTACCCACTACCATTTTATTATTCATCTACATCTAAAGCAAATCCTAATTGCTGTAAATATGCATCAGTAATATCTAGTTGATGAATAAATTTTTCATTTATTATCATAGCTAATGCACACTCTTAAATATCACTAATTTTTTTCCGAGAAGTGTATCTAAAAATATTTCTATCCGAAAATAATCTATTTTATTCNTTATTTTTGGAATAAAATAAAATTTAAGATCATTCTTATTATTAAATCGAAATAAAATAGATAACAATAATCAATTATTTTCTGTCCCTTCATTAAAAAGATATGGGTAAGCTTTTTTTTCCCTTAATTTGAGAACTACTAACAAAATTAACAAATGTCTAATTTATTAATCTTTAGATAGTGAAAATATTTTAGTAGATGAAAATGATCGTATAATATTGAATCTTTGCCAAATTAGTTTAAAAATAAAAAAAACAATTTGATTTATAAATATTTCAACATCAGTAAATAGTCATCTATAATCAGATTTTTAAAGAATTTTCTAAAATTATCCTCGTTTATTTATTCATTCTGTTTAGGAGCAATAGAGCCCTTGTTAAATTAATTTTGTATAATTTGTTAACATATTTGAGTCAAAATACATGTTAGATAAATAGAATTAATGATAAAAGCTATATAAAAATCAATCATCGTTCATAAGTCTTTGTAAGGTTTTTGATTTCTTCATACTTGCTTTTATGGATATTTACTTTTATTAATACTAAAACTAAATCTTTTTAATTATTCCATCATAGTTAAATATCGGAAAATAAATTGTCATTATGAATTGCTTATCAAGATCAAAATCACAATATTCAATTGTTCTTTCTTCTGCTTCTTCCATAATTATGACCATGTCATCATTTTCATTTGAATTTACATATTGAGCTTTAGATGTTCTGGAATTTAAAGTGCCTGCAACACTCGAAGAATTCTTTTTTTTTCTAGGACTAGCAGCAAGGCTAATTTATTTTTATAAACTTTTCTACTTATACAAACTTACACTAGCTTAACTTGTATAAGAAATTTTTTTATTAGATGTAATTCCTAGATTTTACTCAATACTTCTCCAGCTATCAAGTTTAGAATTTTTTCTTAATTCTTTAGATTCACTTAATTATGATTAGACGAATTAAATTCTTTTTTCAATATTCTAAGAGTTTTCCCTTTTAAGTTTTCGTAAAATAGTAGTGCTTTCAGGTTATTTAACATTTGCCTAAACATCCTTTTTTTTATTCATGCTTAATTTCTAAGAAATTTAAGGGGAAGGTATTGATTAATGAGGAACGATTGGCGGCATTTGGCCACTATAAGTTAATACATCATTAGAAAAACTATCACTTTATTTTCTTAGATTATCTTTATTTGTATTGCTTTTAACAGTGAATGTATCATTAAGAGCAGTCTACTCTCTTTAAGTATTTTATCTTTATTACCCACTACCATTTTATTATTCATCTACATCTAAAGCAAATCCTAATTGCTGTAAATATGCATCAGTAATATCTAGTTGATGAATAAATTTTTCATTTATTATCATAGCTAATGCACACTCTTAAATATCACTAATTTTTTTCCGAGAAGTGTATCTAAAAATATTTCTATCCGAAAATAATCTATTTTATTCTTTGGTTTCTTTAAATTTATTCATGATTTTAGTTTTATTCACTTTAATGAAAACGAATGGACATTTCTCTATTGAATGAGTCCATTCGCAAACTTCACAAACATTACCAAAAGTCTTATAATTTTCATTAAATATAAGATTATCCTATAGCATCTTGATTTTCTCAAGATCTTCTTGATGATCACCTAAAATTCTTTAAAGATCTGAATACTCAATATAAACTACTTGAGAGAATTTAGAAGCTTTTAAATATGTGATGTAAGTAGTTTATGAAGCAAATTCTCTTTCTCCAATTACTCCTTTTTTCCAACTTTTTAATCCAATATCATTGGCCATCAACTCTAGCTTTCCTTTAACTAAAAAAATTAATTTGGATGCTTGTTCATTTTATTTCCAAATGATTTCTTCTGGAGCATATTTTTATTCATGTGCCACCAAACACAATTTTTACAGACAAGAATCGCACAAATTTGAAAGTACTTTAGATTATTTTAAGATGGAACAATATAAATCAAAAGTAACTTTCTATTTTAATTCAACAGTTAATTTTTACATCAATTCTTCTGCTTCGATTTATGACTTTTCTTCTAATTTAAAATAATGCTCAAAATATTTCCTAACTTATAATTATAATTATTTGTTAAGCTTTCTACTCTTCACATAATTAGTAACTAAAGACATTTTTTCTTTAAACACTTGATTTTTCTCCTGCAGTTGCTTAATTATTTCTCCAACTGTTGATACACTGTATCCTAATACACCACAAACCAACAGAGCCAAAAATATAGTATATATTTTTTCTGGAATAGTTTAAGGTGTTATATCACCGTATCCAATAGTCAATGTTGTTATGGCTGAATAATAAAATGAATAGATATATTTTATTCTCCAATTCGAATCATCAATTTGATAATGAGCAATCCATGAATGCAATCCATATTCTAATTAAGTTTCCCCTAAAAATGCCCACATGCATGCACAAAAATGACATGTAATCAAAATGAAATATATCAATTTAATTAATGAAATTATTGCCTTTACTTGTTGGTTTGGATTAATTATCTCCTCAATATTGCTTGCTATTTTTGGTAATCTAAAAATTCTTAATAATAGAGCATATTTAAAAAATGAAAAATTCAAAGATGATAGTAATATTGGAATAACAATAATTATATCTAGAATTAGAGTACCTCCTTTAAGGTAATTCTTAAAGATTTCTATTTAATTTCTATGTATTATTCCTTTTGCATAAAAAGCTGTTTATAATGTAACAAAAATATCTACAACAAAAAGCCAGGAAGGAAGTGTGTTTAAACATAACTAAGTCGTTTAATCCATATCAACTGAAAAGCTTAATTCTAAAGGTATATAGATAATATTTATAACAATAGCCAATAATACTATGATATCCCAAGATAATTTAACAATTGAGTCAGGTTCAATGATAGGCAAATATTGAATTTTATTTAACACTTTATTAAAGCATTTCATAGTTTAAACCGTTTTTTTATGATATTAATTATCTCTTTGCCTTAATAATTCGTCAGTATCAGATCCCAAGTCCCTTATGAGATCCAGAATCCTTCTTGTTAATAGTTTAAATTTTATTTTATTTGCGCTTGTTTTCAATTATCTTGCGAACTTGGATATATAATAAATTATATTTAAAGATTTGTTTCTCCATACATTATTTAATCTTCCAAGTTTATTGGATGCTTGTTTAATTATATTTGATTTTTACTCAGCAACTTAATTATTTGAATTTCTATCATATTATTCAATTTACTTGTGCGCATGAAAAGATCCTTATGATAAAAATGATTGCTCAATTAATTCATCTTCTACATTCTTATCTCCTTACAATGAATTTCGGTCTATATTATCTCCATATAGAGACTTATTTTTTAAGATTCCTTTCAAAGGGCCTGAAGTCTAATAAAATTATCTCTTTCTTGATTGTACAATAAAGAATTACTTAGGTTGAAGTTGGAGAGTGAGAATTAGAAACTAGGTTTAGCATTATTAATTATAATTAGATAAATTAATTCAATAATCAAATTATCACCTTTAGATAATATAACCATATACATATTGTTGTTTAAAGATTTCAAAAATAGAAATTAGGTAACCATTAATTATGAAAAAGTGAAATTTTAATTTATTTCCGTATTTTATGTTTATAATTTAAACAATTAATTGTAGAAACTACTTATTTGATGAGAATCCTATGCTTGAGAATTTTTTTTTTACTTTTAATCTGTTGTAATTATAAATAAGAAAGTTTATTTTTTGTATTGATATCCTAAAGTAAATTTAAGGAAAAGTGTTATCTTATCGTTTCCTTCTAATCCATAAAATAGGATATTTCTGTATAAATTTCTTTAAGAAATTAACCATTTTTCAATTTGATAGCTTAAAAATATATGCTGACATTAATATTTAGATTTATATCCAAATTTAGCAATAACTTTTGATTCATACTGAAATCGATATTTACATTTTTACTTTTATAATTCATTTTCAAGAAATTTCGATTATATCCAACTCAAAGAATTTTAGAATTCTGTTTAATTATAGAAAAAATTCTCAAAAAAACAGATGCTTTTTATCATCCAAAACTTTTTAGTATTATCCTAAAGTTAGTAATAATTTCAAATGAAAAGTATAAAATAAAAATTATAATAATTTAATTTTGAAGCATATCAAATTTTGTATTTATAATATTATTCATTAAGTGTATAATTTGTGTATTAAAATAATCATGATGAATTTCATTATACAAATGCCCATTTGTAAGGTTACTTTTAAAATGATGAAATGAAAAACTATTTTATATTACACTTAAACCCTTAATTAAAAGGCATTCTAATTTCATCTTTGACATATTTCATGTAACTTAACTTATATCTAAATCTATTTTCAGCTTAGGTTTAATTTGTCACTATCAAATAGATTTAATAAAGAAGTAAAAAAGTAAGGTAGCAAAAAACAAGAATAGACAAAGTTTTCACTCCATAAATAATGTTGGCAATTTAAAAAGGTATGGTCTTTAAGTAAAGCGTAGCTAAAATTACTTGAATGCTATGGAATATTAGTGTGATTATATATATAAATTTGTTTTTCTCACCAATACATTTACCAAGGATAAAATTATGATGATCATAGGCTAAAATACAAGCACCACATATTTTACAGTGTCGAGATCTTAAGATTTGATCAATAAAACATGTAATACAATATAGTTATTCTAAATAAACTACAGATTATGGTTGTGATTTCTACTATTTCTCTTGTATTTAAGAATTATCCTACTAAATGAGTGAAGGAATTTCTATTTATTTTTCTTCTTTTATTGATTCATCTTCTTTTATAGAATTGAGATGCTTTCGCTTATAAATAACAAGAGAGGATTGTAATATTTTAGCGGCTGACTTATTTGTTTTATCAGTAAAATGAAACTATTTATCTCCTTAAGGTGTAAAAACTTAAACTTTTTACTCACTGTTGATTTAAGTTGAACAAAGAATACCAGGTCCTTTGAAAATCAAAAAAAAAAAGCTTAGTGTACTCAAAATCTAAAAAATTCTTAAAATAATAATAAAATAAATACTTACAAAGATAATGTTACTCGGCATGAAATAAATATCATCAACTAAAAGCATAAATATAAAACTATTCTTATTATAGTCAACATTATTATTTTATATTATTTAATTAGTAATCTATAAAATGAATCTTAATGTAAAGAGACTTCATATATAATTTTAGAGATAGTGACTTTATTATAAAATATTCTTGAATTAGTTAACATTAAAGATACTAAATTTTTATATAATCATTAAATATTTAAATAAATAAAATGATAAATCATTTAGCGTCAACATGTGAGTATCTCCATCATTTAAAAGATGGCTAATGCTTTCATGATGATCTATTCCCTTTAACTCTTTACAATAGTCTAGGATATTTATTAATAATCCTAATATTGGGTTTGTCAACAGTTGGTGGATTAGGAGGAGGAATTGAAAAAATACCAATTTTAATTGTAATGTTAAATTTTTCTCAATCTAAAGCAACACTTTATGTGTACGTATTAACTTTTGGAACTAATTTAGTTAATTTTCTTATGCTTATTTACTAAAAGCATCCATTAGCGGATAAATAAATAATTGATTATGAGCTTTCTCTAATATTATTACCAACTGCTTTATTTGGAAGTGCTTTTGGGAATATATTACATTAGATTTTACCAGACATCTTTCTGATATCAATTCTCATAGTTTTTTTCTCAATTTTTGTTCCTAAATTGTATAATAAGGCTAAATAAAATAGAGAGTAAGAAATGTTAACTGATAATAAATAAAAGATGATTATTAATTAAGAAATAACCAATTTAATTGCAGAATAATATAAATGCGAAGATTAATAAATAATTCCTTTATATAAGTTTTTGCTGTTATTAATTATATTTATGATAGTTTAATGTGTTTTAATGATTAGAGGAGGAAAGAAATAACAATCTTTTATTGGAATATAATATTGTTCTGATGGTAAATTTATAAATAATAACTAGTTAGTATATTGGATTACAACAGGAATGATTATTGTAGTATTATTATTAATTTCTTATGGAATCAAATATCATTTAGGTAGAGAAACAAAAACAAAAATAGAAATTGGATACTTCAATGAAAAAGTTGATTTTAACTTTATTGAATCAAGATTTTTCATGATTGTTTGGATCTCTGGATTTTTAGGAGGAATTATGGGAGGAATGACTGGAGTAGGAGCTGGAGCTATTATTGTTTCAATACTTATATTATAGAATGTCAATTCTAGAGTAGCATCTGCAACTGGAGGATTTCAAAAGTTATTTATTTCTCTATTTACAACAATACTCTCCTATTAATAAGGAGATTTGGATAAAAATGAAATATTATTTTTTTTTATCCTTGGATTGTTTAGTGGTTTGCTTATTGCTGGTCCTATGTATTATTATTTAGAACTAAACCCAAAATAAAATTATTTAGTAATCTATTTGGTGTGTATATTTTTGATTATAAGTGCTATTTCAGGTGCTATATATTTATTAAAAGAAATTGTTATCATGGATAGATGGAATAAAATGATTTAAACTCATACATTTTGTTGAGTTTAATTATAATTATTATTATTTTAAATATAAAATATGTAAAAATCTACTATTTATATTCTTCATTTTAATGATGTCTATGATATTGAAGAGTAATTACATGAACCAAAAGGAGGAGCGGCCAGATTCTTATATGTTATGAATTAACTTAAATAAAATTTACCAAACTCCTTAACCTTATTTTCTGGAGATGTCTTTAGTCCATCCAGTTTGACACATATTTATCATGGTATCATATTTTAGCTAAAATAGGTTCCCATATCATATACCCACTACAATAATTTAAAATTGATGTGGCATGTCTTGGTAATCATGACTTTGACTTTCCATTAGATCAGTTAGAAGATTTACTACAATAATCCAATACAACATGGATATTGAGTAATGTTTATGATAAATTCACTCAAAAACCTTTAGCTAATGTACTTCCATATAAAATTTAATCATTTGGGAATTACAAAATTGGATTTATTGGATTAGCTGAAGAAGAATGGTTAGGTTTAATAACTGATATTCCTGCAACTCAAATAGAATACAGAAATTTTATTGATGCTGCTAATGAGCTTTGTAAATACCTTAGGAACGAGCTTGAATGTAATTTAATTATTGCCTTGACTCATATGAGAATTCCTAATGATCAAATTTTAATTAACTCTATAGAAGAAGGATTAATTGATTTAGTGTTGGGAGGACATGATCATCTATGGCATCATGAATAAATAAAACAGACATTTTATTGTAAAAGTGGAACCAACTTCAGAAATATAGGATTAATTAAAGTTTCTCCTAAAGATAACGATGATTTATTTTTGCCTCAAACATTAAATTTATAATTTGAAGTTCCATAGCCAATACAATATTAACTTAAAAAATTTAATATTAGTTATTATCCGATTAATATTAATAGTTAAATTCCAGTTGACCCAATTATGGATGAATTTGTTTAATAAAAAATTAAAGTTTACAACGAAAGTATTGATATCGATAAATTAGAAACTTAAAAAACAATTGGTTTTATAGCAAATGATCTTGAAGCTAGATTTATGATTGTAAGAAGCGTAGAGACAACAACAGCTAATTTATTTTCAGATATAATAAGATTAGAATTTTAAACTGACATTGGTTTTATAATAAAATATAATAGCGATATTAAATTGTGGTACTGTTCGAGCTGATGAGTATTTTTCGTCAGGCCCTATTACATATCAGACTTTAGATAAATTATTTGCAATACCAGATAATCTTGTAAGCTTTAGAATTTCAGGAGAACAATTATTAAATGTACTTGAGATTAGGTAAAAATTATTTTATTCATTTAGTGTATCCAAACTTCCTTCAACTGATGGAAGATTTTTAGGGGTTTCTGGAATGAAATTTGAGTATTCGCTTAAGAAAAATCCAATGAATAGGATTTCTGCTGTTACAATTAATAATGAACCATTAGATTTATAAAAAATATATACTTGTGCTACTAAACAATTTATAGCTGAAGGAGGCGATGGATATCCAATCCAAACTTAATTCCTAGTTGATAAGACTTTAGGAATTTAAATAAAATCTGTCTTTGTTTAATTTTTTGAAGGCATTAGAAAATTAAAAGTAAAGATTAATACTCTGGAGGATTTAGAATAAACAAAATATAAAAGATATCTATCTATAATATCAGGACTAACAGAATATTAAGGAGATAAATATATAACAGTGAATCCATAAATTGAAGGTAGAATTAAAGTATTTAATTGATAGAATTTTGAATTATTTATTAAATACTTTTAATATATGAAAATTTAATATTTTATATATTAAAAATACATTAAATAATATATTAAATTATAATTAATATAACACAATATTCATTTTTTTTTCTTTTATTTAATTGAAGATTAATATGATTATGATTTTTCATCAATATTTGTTTATGTATAAGGAGCAAAACTATTTTAAAATTCTAACACATGTTTCATGAATTCAGAATTTTTATCTTTTACTAATTATTTTAAATCTTTATTTTATTAGGCTTGCTTACAAATTTCTATTTTAATTGTGATCATAAAATACATTTAAAATGGCTATGCTCTGAAGTTATATCTGAGGAAATTTTAGTTATAAGACTTGAAAAGGAGCTGTTCCCAAAAGAATCTATGTATTTATCTAAAGCATCAGAAGTTTATGGATCTAAATATTTATTCCTTAATTATATAGATAATTACTAATTGTTGCATTTTTTTCATTTTCTCATCGGTCTCTTTATTTTCCTATATTTATTTACTTTGCTTTGTTTATTTTGCTTATCTTGCAAACTAATAACCTTTTGAAATCAATCTAAGCATTATTATTTATTAATATTTATTAATAATAGATGCATAAAAATATTATATACAAATTTTAAGTGGAACATAATTAATAATAATTAAATAAAATTGAAGTTGCCCAAATAAATGAAGATATTATGACTATTAAAATTTTTCAATATTGAGAATGAAGAATAATTAGAAAAAATATTTTTAATTTATTATATTTTTCACATTATTTAGCAAGAACTCTATTTCTTGCGACTTAAATTCTAAGAATTCCTTCTTCTTTCAGCATCTACTAAATTCCTTCTTGTTTCAGCATCTTCTAAATTCCTTCTTCTTTCAGCATCTTCTAAATTCCTTTTTTCAACTTCCATTATTTTTTTCAGAATTGTGTCTTTTTGGATGATTAAATTATTTTTAAGTAATTGTGAGTTTTTCTCTAAGAAATCTTTAATCTCTATAATATCTTCTTCTTTTGATACAAATTTAAATATTTTTAAAAAAGTATCAATTTCAATTTTTTAATTATTTTACCATCCTAATATTTCTGCAATCTCTTACATTTACTTTAATAATACTTGATACCTACAAAAAATCTATTAATCTGTTTATTCATTGACAAGCAATTTTATGTCATGAAATTTTTAGTACAACTTTTCTATATCTTCTTTGCTCAAATCATTAAGAAAATTATCAATTTATTTACAAATCTCACTAACTAAATTTTGAATTATTTAATCGCATTTTTTATGAATTAAGCTAGCTAGTTCATCTTGTTTCTTAAATTATGTTGGTTTAAATCTGATAGGATTAGATTTTTCTATTACATTCCATATCTCTTGTCTTTTTTAATTATTAAATTTCATTTCAAGATCACTATCTTCTCTTATTTTTCGTACCACTGCTATATTCTCATTTACATTTTTTGAAATATCCTTCAATTAATTTTTTACATCATCAATAAGATCTTGATCATCTAAATTATCCATATATTAATTGAGGATTAGAGTCACTTAAGAAAATTCTTAAATATGTTAGGCAAAGCATCGACTTATAAAATCCTAAAATTCAACACCTCTATTCGCCAAATTTCCATCAGGAATCTTAACAACAAATATGATTCTAATTGGTGTTTTTATTACTATTCTATTGAATAAAACCTATACAAAAAATTATTACATAGCTCCCTCTGTATCATTAAATCCAGGAAAGTCAATTAATAAGTAATTATTATCTTTATTAAAATAATAATGTGGCTCCTTTGTTACAGATTTTACTCCATTAGCCATATCAGAAGCATATTTTTCATCAGGATATTTTAGAGTTAAATATTTAGTTTTTATATTATCTTTTTTTGTAATTTAAAATTCAAACCCCGAGAGAAAATTAAATAAGGTACTCTTACCATTTGCTGTGTTCCCAACAAGCATGGCAACTTTTAAATTTTATTGTATTTATTCATCAAACTGGATCAACAATTCATTTATTTTATCAATCATCTTTTGATATTCTTTGAATTTATCATTTTCTTAAATCATAATAATAATTACACTTACTAAGTGTTAAAAATATTATTATAAACTTTATTAATTCTAGGAAGTTTTATAATAGAATTTTGATTTTATTAATATAAAATAATATATTAAGCCTTCTTATTAGAATTATTACATTAATGAAATAAATGGATTCATCTAACTAAACTCAAATATAAGAAATTTACAAATTATCCTGCACATTTAATACAATTTGGAGATCTATTTAATAATAAATCTCAGATGAAAAAACTATAATTGTAATTTTATTAGGATCTCAAAATAGTGGCAAGACAACCTTTCTTAAATATCTTAAATAAGATGATTTAAATATTGTCAATAAGAGTAAAGACATCTTAAATAGTAATAAATAAGAATATTTTGATATATTTAAAATAGATTCGACTAAACCTCATTTATTTTTGGATTTGAATAGTATTCTTAATTCAGAAAAAAATAACATGATTTTAATTTTTGAAGAACTGATTTTAAGATTAATTGATAAATACGAGATAAAATTGATATATATTCTCGAACATCCAGATAATGAATTATTACATAGAGGATCTTAATTAAAGGAATTTATTTAAAAATATTTAGGTGGAAATCAAATCAATTTATAAATCTTACATATTATTCTAAATAAATATTTTGATAACTTAAATGATGAAGAATTAAATTAAACAGTGCAATAAGAAATTTAAGACATGAATCTTACATATATTAATGAAATTTTTGTATTTAGAAAAATAAAAACAATGGAATAGTAATAGATAGAGTTTTCAATTGAGAAAAGAGAAAATATTTTGAATTCTATAATCAAATAACGTCCACTTAAGCTAAAAAGAGATTAGTTTACTTTAAATGAGAAGTTAGTTTATTCAATATAAGAAATTTTCAAAAGCACTTCCATATCAATTATAAAAAAAATTTAAGAAATAAATAAGAAAGCGAGCAGATATAAGTAAAGCTATCTTAAGAAATTGAAAGAGTAATATTAAACCATATTAAATGATACTTAAAATAAAGATCCCCAATTTTTGTTTGATTAATCTAAAGAATGGGATTAATTAATAAATGATAATTTTTCCAACAACGATCTAGAGTTCAATAATTATCATTATCTAAAGGACATTTTACCTTAATTTACAAACATAATTGAAAAAATCAAAATTTTAGAAGATATTAATAGAATGGTGTAGAATTGCTGTTAAGTTATAATCTAAAATTTGGAAACTTATATTAATGAAGACTATTAATAACATAATAACATAATAAGAAAGAATATGGCTGAAATAAAGTCTGACTCTATAGAAAATGAGATAAAAAAATATGAATCCTTATAAAGTATTTAGCTTGAAGAGTTAGATTTGATAGTCAATGATTATTTTGTTGAATAACCTTGCGAAAAGACGAGAAAATTAAAAATTGCTCTTGATATATTTCTGGAATATAGGTAAAAATTAGAAAAATTGAATGAAAAAAATGAAGAAATAAAGAAATAACCACAAAAGAAGAAATAATAATCATCTTGCTAAATACAATGAGTATTTATTTACAATTTCCATAATCAATAAAATAATTTTTTATCCTTTATTAATAAAAATGATGTATAATTATAATATATTAGATATATTGTTATATATATAGAAATACAAATATTTAAAAATATTTTATTAATCTAATATGGATTTTATAGAGGAAGATGAAATAGGATAACTCTGTTTGACTAAGCAATTTTCGAAGGAAGTTAGTTTGGATTCGTTTGAAATGAATTGTGTAATAGGGAAGGGACAATATGCCAAAGTTCTATTAGTGAGAAAGAAGGATACTAAACATCTTTATGCATTAAAAGTGCTCAAGAAGTCGGGCTTAAAACAAGATGCACGAATTGAGCGCAACATAATGGTTTGGCTTATCTAATTAAGATTGAAATTTAACACCCATTCATAATAAAATTAGTGTACGCGTTCCAAACTGCTAGCCATTTGTATTTTTGCATGGAGTATTGTCCAGGTGGAGAAATGTATTATCTTTTGAGCAAACAAAAACATTTTAATGAACATACGTGAGACATGTTTTTTTAATATATTTTAGAGCTATGTTTTATGCTGCTTAAATCATTCTAGCATTGGAATATCTTCATAGTAAAGGGATAATTTATAGAGAGTTAAATATATAATTAATTTTAGTTTAAAACCTGAGAATATTGTCATATGTTAGGATGGATATGTGAAATTGACTGATTTTGGTTTATGCAAGAAAGGAGACTTTACAAATATTTCAGGTGCCTCATCTATATGTGGAACTCCAGCCTATATGGCACCTGAAATTCTATTATATAAACAATATGGTAAAGCAGTAGATTGGTGGGCATTCGGTTGTTTCTTATATGAAATGGTAGCAGGACATCCTCCATTTTTTGCATCAAATAAATAAGATTTAGAATTTAGCATATTACATTCATAACCAAATATGAGTCATTTTTCAATAAAACTATAAGATTTAATTTATAGATTACTAGAAAAGAATCCAAAGAATAGATTAACCACTAATATTAGAGATCATTAGTGGTTTAATATTGATTTTGATGCAATATTAAATAAAAAAGAAATTGCCCCATTCTTACCTACCTTATAAAATGAGGCAGATGTAACTTATTTTGATCCATAATTCATTAAATCTAGTATGTCTGAATAATGTAGTATCATTGATGAATTAGATTCATGTTTTAATATTTTATGTAAATTTTAGATAAGGACTTTACTTACAAAGGATCATAAGATTAATCAGTGCAATAATCATTTTAAACTTTAAGTCCAGAGATTATTGGATTAAATGAAAATGGAGAAGCTAAACAAATGATAAAGGTTGAATCAACTGAAATGATTAATTAATGAAATTTAATGTTAAATTAATAATATTCATCATTCTGCCAAATAAGGTAAAGAACTATCGCAATCTTTTGTAATAAAAATAACAAAAAATGAATAATAGATTACAGGAAAATATTTTCCAACAAATCTATTATTCCAACTAGATCTATCTACATATAAACTCAAATTGAAGATAAAAATGGAAGAAACATAAATATATGGAATTATTGCATTTCTAGGATATTTTACAAAAATGGCATGAGTAGAACAAACCATAATATCCCACCAATTAAGAACATATCTACTCAACAAAAATGGTTATACCACTATTGCTATCTAAAAAGAAAGTATAAATTTATATATACCATATGATGAAAAAAATAAGGGAATCTGCATTCTGTCAAGTAGGTACCTTCATAAATAGAAATTATGGCATCAAATAAATAATAAAATGGGGCATATATTGTCTAAGTTTAATTTAATTTTACTAAAGTAAAAACTATTGCATTCATAAATTTCTATTGTTTTATCTAGAGGTGTTTTTAATAGTCAAATATATGCAGATAAATTCTATATAACCCTATTATCCAAAGAGGAAATATGGCTAAAATTGAATAGTGATACCTATTATAAAAAGTAATTATTACCAAATCCAATCATTAATATATCTCATTGTAATTGAGTTATATTCAAATTCGATGTTTGCCCATAAGAATGTCATTAAAAATAAATAAAATTATCAAATAAATTTATCAAAATGGAAATTGTCCTCCTCTTCCAAATGGATCTATCCATGGTTTCTTATTGCTAGGTTCTCCAAATGGGTTAATATCAGGTTCAGGACCAAAAGGATCAAATCTTGCCCCTGGAGGTATTTAAGGATTGAATTATTATTATTGCTATTGTCTTTAGTTAAAATTCTAAAAATGTTAAGGTCCCATCAAGTTTCCACTTATTTATCCTCTATTATCAAATGGATTTCTAGGAAATGGATTTATATCTTGGTTTCCTACTGAAAATGGTTAGTTCCTAGGTATATTCCAAAGCAAGCCTTAAGGTTATTATTATTATTATTAAGGAGGCTATTCTAATAAAATATTGGTTTATTTTTCTATCTATTAAGGTTCTTGTTTTTTCATTACAATTTTTTATAAAATTTATTGTTTATAAACACTAATAGTATTTGATTTAAATAGTAAATCTTAATTATCAAAGTTTAATGATGAAATAGGAAGTTTATAAGAGTATATTTAATCATTTCTACCTAAAATAACTGCATTAATTGATAAAGTATCATCTTGTTCTGGAAGTGTTAAAAATTTAAATTAACATTATTCTTTATACTAATTAATATATCTAAGAGAGTATACACCTAAGTATATATATTTATATAATACCATCTTCAGGTTAATCCCAACCTTCAGCTATTCCTACCCATTCATGATTTTCATCATTTTCATTGATACCATTATTTTTCAGTCCTTCTTTTACATTAATGCTATGGATTAGCAGTATTGTTAATAATGTTTTGTTTGTTGGTTAATCTGGAAGTAGGAATAATATTTCATTATAAATTTCTCTAAGAGTTGTCATTATATTAATAATAATAATTAATATAATTAGTTATTAATAATGAATTAATACCAAGTTTTTCCAAAAGAATAAGAACTTTAGGATCTCACATAAAACAATAATGAAAATACTTCTAATTAATTTGCACCTTATGTCAATATGTAGATTTATTCTCAATAGCAATAAAACAATTAAAATTCTTATAATAATAATTATGCAGAGTTAAATGATGATTAAGAAAAAAAGTAGGAATTTAAATTAGAGAATTTCAAATAGTACATTTCAAATTTGCAATCAAATTTCTCAGAAGAATCAGTTGGATGTCAATTTTTCACAATTTGCAATAGCATTATATGTTTTGTAATAATATGTGTTATCATTAAATCACTTTGAATATAAAAGGAAAATGAATTATGACCATATTTGATAAATTATAATTGAAAATTATATCATAAATTCTTAGATATGAAAATTGTTAAATGGCTTTCTCTATAGATACTATCTAATATTCTGCAATTAAATAGATGATCAATTCAAATTATTACTATTTTTATAAATTATAATTAATACAAAAAGGAAGTGTCTAAGATATCTTTCTGAGATGTAGAATTGGCAATATAAACTGTCATGCTTAATTATTAAAGATCTAGTTTATAAAATTCTCAAATTTGTTAATTGATTATAATTTTTTTAATTAATGAATCTGACCAAATAAGTTATTATTAACATTCTTTTAAGAATACTACATAAATGTATTATATATAATTATTATTGTATTCCCTATTAGTGCAAAATATTGTTTTAAACAAATTACAGTTCTTAATTTTTTGTTTGTAACATTGCAAATGTTGATTATTAACAATTGAATTTTGATTGAAATTAATACTTTTTAATATAAAAACACTTTTTATACTAAAAAGTTAAGGGATATGATCAAATTTGATTTAATGATATATAAAAGTTTATTATAATATTTGAGAAAATTTCATTTGAATTTAAAGTAGAATAAAATCACAAAGATTAATTGTTTTATTTTGGTTTAAAATTTTATTATATCATTTTTAACAAAACTTTATCATAAGTTGTTAGATTGAATATTTATAATTTGATATGTTAAATGAATATATTTGATTGATGTATTCAAAAAAGTGAATTTAATATCTGTTATTTCATAAAAATATTTATATAATTAACAATGAATAGATTGAAAAAATATTTAGAATGTGATGATGATTAGGTTTTAGATATATATGATCAATTAATTGATGAGATATTATAACACCAAAATGAATAGGAATAACTTATTTTGAATTTAAGAGATCATATGTAGTTGGTTGATATTAAAAAAAAAATAAGAATCTTATAATTGATAAATGAAATCATTTGTTGTAATGATACAAATTTTAAATCACTAATATAAATTCACTTTTTAGATTTACTTAAAGAATATTTTGAACATCAAAGTAAAAGTCTTTAATCTAATTATTTGTGTTAAGAAGGTATAAATTTAAATTTATCTTAAGATGAAGTTGAAGTTATTGAACTTTATATGTTTGTAAATAAAATATTAGCATACTATGATACTTCCAAAATAGAAAAACCTAGATTAAGTATAATGAAACCAAAAAGTGAAGAATTCAAATTTTAATTTGAATCAAGAGCTTCAATATTTTTAAATGATTAAGAATAAAAATATGAAGAAAAAGAAATATAGACTGATGAAGATTAAGAATTGATAAAATGGAAAAATAAATGGGAATTATAGTTCCATTACAATTAAAGATTATAAAAAATAAATTCATAATTAAGAAAAGAATTAGTAGAATATTAAAAGAAATATAATCAAACATCATATATGATAGAAAAACCCCATTCTGCAATATTATTATAATAGCCTACAAAATCAAAAGAAACATTAACTATATCATTTGGATAATAATAATTATAATCTTAATCATAATAATTAATGAAGTTTGAAGATGATGAAGAAGATTAAATTATAATAAGTGATATAAATGAATCTAATGATTAAACTAATCAAATAAAATAAATATCTTCTATTTTAAAAAAGAATGAAAATGAAAATGAAAAAAAATAAAAAAAGAGAGTATAATTTGTATAAAGAAAATTAAATATTTAATGTTATAATTATTAGAATCTTCTAAATGAACTTGAATAATCAGAATTATTATATTTAAAAAAATGTTGCTTTTCTAAATATGGAATTATTTATGATGATAGATCAATATAAATATTATTATAGTTGAGTGATTCTGTTGAATTTGAATCATGTTTAACAATATTAAATAGAACAAATGATGATATCAAATTATCTCTAATTTATAAATAGCCAGTCAATATTAATCTTAGAATTAAAGATTTGATTTTGAATTCTAAAAAATCACTCAAATAGATTATTTATAATGATAAAGATGAATTATTATAATTGTAACTACATTATGAATTGCACCAATAAAAAATAGATAAATATATAATAATTCCAAATTTATTACATAAATACTTATAATTCAATAAATTTACAGAAACAACATATCAAAAACATATGGATGAAATAAAAAATAATGATACACATACTATGTTAATTTGTTAATGTCCTAATATTAATATAGATGAAGATAAAATTATGAAAATAATTCCTAATTATATTCATATTAAAAACAAGTATTTAAGTAGTATGAATTATAAATCAATTTAATTTTATTGTAAAATTAAATGTGATAAGAACTCAACTGAATTTAAATTGCTTATAGATTCAAATAATGAATAATTTGGAACAAAATTACTCCAATAGCTAATATTTTTATTGATTATTTAAAAGAAATGAAATATTTATATCTATTTAGTTATATATATATTATTAATATTTCAATATTTACACCATCAATAAATAATTAAACTTCATATATATACATATAGAGTTTTAAACTTTAAATTGATTTTCTTTATTATGTTGTTAATTAATTATTGATTTAGATATTTTTGATATTAATATATATATTCTTATTATTTTATCATAAATCTTTTTATTGATGACTCACTAAATGACAAAATTGTATACATAGGATGGAACTGGTAGGGATTCCTATATATTTTTCAATAATGGAGGATTTTATCCTGCATAATCAAGATTTTTAGTAAACAGAATGGCAGAGTCATGTATGTAGTAAATTAATTTTGAGGGGCTTATGGATCTCCAAGTAGTGTACGTTTAGGAGGTTCAATTGAAAAAAGATAGTTTTATTTTTCTGATGGAACAGGAAGAGATACCTACATAGCAAAAACAGTTTAAAATAAAGCATAATTGTCACCAGATTTTTAGGAAACTTTAAGAAAATACAAATCATAACAAATACCAACTAAATATCCCTATAAATTGCCTCCAATTAAGTAGGCTGTTCAATATGAGAAATCAGTTAAACAACATGAATTTACAAAAAGATTAGCTGCTCCAAAAAAGCGAATAGAAGATAATGATTGATTTAAATAATAAAAAATATATATATAAAGTGGATATAAGTTACATGAAATATTTGATAATTTATATATTAAATGAGATTCAAAATTAAGGTTAATGAGAATACAAAGCATGCTGATATTTGCACTTCAGTAAAATGGGGGTTGAACAATGAAGCATATAGGTATAATGTCAATTTTGATTATTTTAGTTTGAGTGATGATTATACAATTTTGAAATGGGATCCTAATTCATTAGAGGTAAATTAAATTGTAATTAAAAGTCATCGAAATTTGTAGATTTAGAAGGATATGGCACAGACTTTGATTTCTTATAGGGATAGAGAGGATCAACAGATCTATTAGCTATAGCATTTAGTGATGGGTCATTCATATTGTAATAAAAGACAGGAAAAGTTGAAAAGAAAGAGAAGGAAGCACATAAAGGAGCTGTAATTAATAAATTATGAAATATATAGATTATAAGTATTAAATGGAGTGTAGATGGATCATTAGCAACTTGTGGTGAGGATGGTGCTTTAAAAATTTGGAGTAAAACAGGAATAATTAGATCAAATTTAGTATAGATAGATAAACCAATATATTGTATAGTTTGGAGTCCAGATAATGATGGTATATTGTATTGTTCTGATAAAATGATCTATATTAAACCATTATAAGCTGGTTAAAAATAAGTTTAATGGAAGGCACATGATGGTTTAGTTTTAAAGGTGGATTGGAATCATACAAATAATTTGATATTATCTTGTGGAGAAGATTGTAAATATAAAGTATTTGATACTTATGGCAGATTATTATTTGCATCTGCTCCATATGATTATGTAATAACATCAGTTGCATGGAGTCCAAATGGTGATTATTTTGCTGTAGGTGCATATGATATGTTGAGATTATGTGATAAAACAGGTTGGACTTATTCTTTTCATAAAACTAATTAAGGCAGTATTTTAAATATTGCATGGACTAGTGATGGTACTATTTGTGCAGGAGCAGCTGGAAATGGTAGTGTTATATTTGGTCATGTTGTAGAAAGATGTATTACTTATGATAAATGGGAGATTACTTTAACAGAAGATAATAAGTATATATATATAAAAAATAAAAATTTTAGAATATAAATAATAGATTTAATAGATGAAATGAATAGTGAATTTGATTTTAAAGAAAGAGTAATTAATATGTCAATGAAATATAACAATCTTATTATTACAACTAGTTCACATTGTTATATATATTCATTTAGAAATTGGAATACTCCATATATATTTGATATAAGAGATTCAGTAAGTTAAATATGTTAATGTGCTAATTACTTTTGTTTAGTTGAAGTAAGTTCAGGAATTATGGTATATAATTATGAAGGAAGATTAATTAGTAATCCTAAAATATAAGGAACTAAATGTAATAATATAATAATATATTTATAGTTGAACATTTATCTCATAAAAAGATAGCTATATCTAATGATTTATTAGCATTAGTTGATGGAGGTAATAATAAAGTAGTCAAATTTTATGAAATGAATTCAGGAAAAGCATTAAATTTTACAGTTGAACATTCTTTAGAAATTCTTGAAATTAATTTAAATTAAACAGAAATGATTGGAGAAAGAAAATTAGCTTTTGTTGATTAAAATAGAGATTTACATATTACTCCTGTTCATAAAAAAGATATAGTTAAATTAGCAGCTATGACAGATTCATTTTTATGGAATGAAAAATTTGATATGCTATGTGCAATTTCTGATTAAAGATTTGTTGTCTGGTATTATCCAACATCAGTCTATGTAGATAGAGATTTATTAGAATAAGTTAAAGTAAGTAAAGAATGTACTGATCTAACAAGAAATTCATAAATTTTATCATTTTAAGATACTATGGTTTAAATTCGTAGAAAAGATGGTGCAATTATGACATAAAGTGTTTCACCATATCCTGCATTACTTTTTGAAGCTTGTGAAAGAGGAAAATGGGAAAAAGCTATTAAATTATGTAGATATGTCAAAGAACATACATTATGGGCTGCTCTTGCTGGACTTTCACTTTAATTTAAAGAATTAAATACAGCTGAAATTGCTTTAGCTGCAATTGAAGCAGCAGATAAAGTTCTCTTTATTTAAAAGATTATTAATGTTGAATCAGAAAAAGCTAAAAGTGCTTTATTAGCTTTATTTTTTAAAAGACCTTAAGAAGCTGAAAATATCTATACATAAGCTAAATTATATTATAGAGCCATAAAAATGAATATCAAATTATATAAGTATTATTTTTATAATCTAATTATTATAGATGGGAAAGGGCTCTTGATTTAGCTATTTAATATAATGTTCATTAAGATACTTTATTAGCATATAGATAAAAATATCTTGAATTAACAGGTTAATAAGAAACTATACCTAGATTTGAAAAGCTTGCATATGATGTAATTTATATTGATTAATTTTAGATTAAAAAGTATGATTGGGTAGAAATTAAAAATAAAATTAAATAAGAAAAGGCAAGAGAACAATAATCATGAAATATTAAAACATAAATTCAATAATTCATTTATGAATGTCTTTCTATTAAAGATTATCTTTATATTTCTTAATCTTCTAGTTTTTCAAATTCATTTTAGAATTAAACCTAGTATTTTCTTATTTGCTATTCCATTTCATTATTCTCAATTTGTAATGATTAAACTTAATTTCTTAATTTACTATTTTCAGATTATAATTTTAAAAGCTAATCTTAATATTATTAATTTTATATTTCTTTATCTTAAATTGAATTTACTAATTTTTGTACTTCTTTTCTTTATTATTCAAATTATCTTGCATAATCAGATTTTTATTATTCTAATTCATTATAATGATTAGTAGTTTATTCATTTAATTCATCATCCTTCATTTATAATTCTTCTATTGCATTTTTATATTTTTTTTCTAAATTTTCAATTTATTATTATTTTTTTTTCCTTTCAAGTTCAATATTTTAAATTTCAGATTCATAAGAAGATATTTGATCTTAAATATTTTATATTTCTTAAATTAATTATTCATTTTAATATTACAACTCTTTAATTTAGGAATTTAATTATTAAATTTATTATTTATAATTATATTCCTTATTTAATAATAATTATGTATTATTTCTTTCTTCATCTAATTCTTAAGTTAATTATTCAATTACTTCATTTTATTATAATAAATTTTTAGATAAATTTTACATTTATTCATTTTAAGATTTTTATTTAGATAATTATTATTCAAAATTATATCTCTCCATAGATAATAAACTAATTTTTTCATTTAATTAACTTATTTCTTCATTCATTTTTTCTATTTATTCTGAATATTATTATTTTTATTATTTTATTTCCTTTTTTAATCTCTCTATTTCATTTAGATAATTTCTATTTTATTATTCAAATTCATAGATTTTTATATTTAATTAATCTATTTCATTCTATTTTTCTTATATTGCTTTATGTCTGTCATCTGTACTATTAGCTAAATTATTTTTAATATTTTTTAATTCCATAGTTAATCTAGATATGTCATCTTATTATTATTTTTCTATTTTGATTGATTTTTTTTTGTAATTTTCAAAATCACTAACATTAATTTATAATTATCTTTGTAATTATTATATTTCATTATTTAATTATGAAGCATTATATGATTCATTATAATATGATTTTAATTCCTTCTCATTTTTTTCATTTATTTATTAAAGTTATTAAATTTGTTTATTACATTATTCTAATTAAAATAATAACTTATTTTTCTCTTATAAATATTCTGCATTAAATGTCAAATCTAATTAATCCTTTTTTTATCTATCAAAACTTTATCTTAATTTTTCAATTTCCTCTTTTTATTTAATTATAGTAGTTTGATATTTTTCTTTCCATTCTTATATTTCTTATTAATATGTAGATAATAATAAATTAATCTATCTATTTTCACCTTCTAATTTCTAAACCTTATCATTAGCTTATTTATATAAACCATTTATTTTTTATAATTCATTCTAAGCCTTTTAATTATTATCTCCTTATTCAAAACCTTATTAAAATGCTAATTATAAATCACCTTAATGTTTATCATTAAGTAATTCTAATTCAGCCTTAAAATCCTTTTTCATCATATTAATTTCTTCTGTTAATCTAATATTATTTTCTTACATTAATTTCAACTAATCTTAAAAATCATTATTTTCAAGTTCTTATATTCTAAATTATAATTCTTCAATCATTTTATCTTTGTCATCTATTATTTTCTTATACCTTTCATCTGAAGCTTTAATTTTATATTACATATTAAATATTTCAATTTAATATTACTATATTTACTTTTCATGTTAAACATTTAATGCTGCTAATTCATTCTTCACTTTTGTTTTCAAAATATTCTCATAATGTTATGTTAATTAATCTTACTATTATTAATGTTATTATTTCTATAATAATAATCTTTCTTCTAAAGCCTTGATTTCTTACATTTTAGTTTCCAAAACAAGATTTAGATTTTCCAACTGACGATTTGATTGTAATGATGTTTAAGATTGATAATTGAAATTACTTAATGACTTTACAGATGAAGCTTAAGGAGTCTTAATATATTCATATCTAATTATAGGTTCACTCACAGTTGAAATTGCTGATTACTTCATCTCTTTATATAAATTATCAACTCTTTATTCTGCACTTCTTCTTGTTTCCTCTAATTACATAGTTAAATCTATATTTCTATCTTCCAAAGTTTGAATTCTCCTCTTATAATCTTTCTCCATTATACCCATTTACATCTTTAACATAGCTATTTCATTTTACATATTTATTATTTTACAAAAAAATAAAATAAACTCATACTCATTTAAGAATTTCAAGTGCTTATCTGATATTCTCGCCCAAATAAGCTGAATCTTGAATCATCCTAACCTAATCGCTTAATTAATAATTTTCAAAATCAAGCAATATGCCAGTAACTTGTGGTGCCTTAGTATAAAATATTTTTTACATTAATAGGGCCAACAACTTAGGTTACTTTTGGAAATAGCTACATTCCAATCATATCAGTAACTTACTATTTTTAGCCTCTATCAACCATAATTTATAATTAGACTAAATCTGGGATTTGTTATTAATAATAAGGTCTCTTCTATTAAGGATAACGATTTCCATTATGATGTTATCTTGGTGGTTATTATTATTAAGGAGGATATCTTTATTATTAATAATAAGGAGGAGGTGGCATTTATTATTATTGATATTATTAATATTAAGGTTAATGGAATTATCTTTAAAATGTATTTTTCTTCACTTATAATAGTGAATTCACTTCAGAAGGTGGTAAGAGAGGGGAAAGTGATATTACTCCATTAACATATAATGACACAATTTATGGATGATCATATGCATATGCTATCAATTTCTTACCATCTTCAGCTGTTTTAAAATATAAATAAGCTATTTAAGTAGGTTGTCTATTACCTAATTAATAAATAATAATAAATAATTACCATTAGGTGGTTATTTTGATGGCATTAATTTTATATCTTCAACAGTAACCAATAAATTAAGAGCTTTCTTTAAATCTTCTTCAGTAATATCTGCTTTAAGGTTTTTAGTGAATAAATTAGCTTCAATATCTTTGTCAACATTATTTACTACCCATTCTATATGTATTTATTGATCATTAAATAATTTATTTGATTTGACAGCTGCTTTAGCACTCTCCTAATTGACAAATTTTACAAATGCAAAAAATGTTCCATTTGTTGTGTTTCTATTTAAAATCAATGATTCAACAGTTCCAAAAGATTATACAAATGATTGTAAATCAGATTTTAATTAATCTGGTGTGACATTTGGTAACACTTTAATGTTACTTATGTATACTTGATCTCTATGTTGTTTTTTAGATGTAAATCTAATGAATAAGATTAAAAAGATACTTCTAAATTTTAAATCCTAATCTTGATTATTCTGCAATACATTTATCAGCAGACTCTTTTTTATCAAATTATATATAGGCAACACCTACTTTATCTGATTTCTATAATTTGACACTTAGAATAGTTCCAAATTAACTGAAAAGTTAACGAAGAGAAGATTATGTCTCTTTTTTATCAATATTATCAATAAACACATTAGCTTCATGATCCAATTGAGCTATATTTAAGTATTAACAAACATAGGGTTCTTCTCCATTGATATTAATAGATTTTTAAAGAGCAGAAGTAACTTAGAATATATAATGACAATAATTTACCACTTTGATTTTCTTTATAGATTATACATACTCCTGATCCTTGAGAGATAATTTATTCAATTTGGCCAAATTCTGAAAATATATTCTTTAATTGTTCAGTGGTTGTTTATTAAGGGTATTTTGAAACAAACAGTGTACGTTCTGCTGGGATTGATGTAGTATTCATAAAATAAAATCTTTTTATTTATTTAATTTATTTTGTTATATCATGAATATTACTTCTCTTTTTAAGTCACTTCATTCAATACTACTTCAAAATTATCATTCCATCTCTAAGAACTAAATTCTTATTACACTCTACTCTAATTTAATAATCATAAATATATTACTCTTTTTTATTCATTCATAATGATTTAACTGGGTTAAAGAAATCCTGATTGTTAAAAAGATTATCTTTATTATACACTTGTATATTCAATAGGTCTAGATGAATAAGAACTATATTCATTCATTTTTGGTTAAATTGAACTATATTCAATAGTTTTAGTTTATTAAGTAATAGATGGATAAATTAATTTGGAATCTTATGTTATTTATTATTATGTAGTCACTGTCTTTTAATTACTCACAACTTCACTTTTTTAATTCAAATTTTAAATTTCATAAGTATATTCTCTTTATACTGATTATCTCTCTTCTAATTAAGATTTATATTATTCTATTAATAATTATTATTCCTCATATCTTTTTTATAACCATTAATTATCTGAAGCTTAAACTAGTAATCTATCAATTTCACTTCTCAATTCAACAATCTATTAATAATTATTTATTCATACAGTTTTTTATAATCTCTTGATTTCTAATTTCAAAACTTCTGATTATTCATTATCTTAATATTCATTTAAAGTAATTTAAATAGTTTCATAACTTTATTACAATGAAATATATCTCTATTCAATTTATTCATATCTCATTTTCCATTAATTAACTTCCTCATTTATTTAATATCTTTGTTTTTATTCCAATTATTCATATTTCTCTCTCCATTATTAAATCTATTATTTTAGAACCTCATTATTATCAATATTAACTTAAAAACTTTATATTCTTTATTGATAAGTTATCATTTCAGATCTATATTAATCAGATTCCAATTAAATTTATCTAATTCTATCCTCTTTTTATTATAATAAAACTTCTAATTCTCTTACCTTAAATTAATAAACCTCATATTAAGATTGTTCAGCCTTCATTTCTTCAATTCTTCTTTTCAATTAAAAAGTTAATTACTATTCCTGTTCATACTATAATTTAATATCTGATATCTATTTCTTAAGAAATACTGTTTATTCATTATTAGATTCTAATTAATATATTTTTCTAGTATATTATTCAATCTCAGCATTTGCTCTTCTTAATTATTCTTTGAGTTGTTCAATCTATATTTAATAATTTTCACTATCTGATTTTCTTGATTCAAATTAATATATTTTAGTTTAATACTATTCTATTTATATTCTTGTTGTTTCAATTTATTCTTATAACATACTACATTTAGATGTCATAGATTCTAATTATTGTGTCTTTAATTTTAATTATCTCTCTGTTTCAGGATCTGGTTAATAAACTATTTTAGTTTCATATTATATTTCCTTCTAAACAATTTTACTTTTATCTTCCAATTAATAATATTAATTTTGTAATTAATTATATCTTGATTACAATTGATTATATTGATCTATTTTGATTTATAATTATCTTTCTGTTTCAGGATCTGGTTAATATATAGTTTTAGTTTCATATTATATCTCTTTCTAAACAATTTTACTTCTATCTTCCAATTAATAATATTAATTTTGTAATTGATTATATTTTGATTATAATTAATTATATTGATCTATTTTAATTGATAATTATCTCTCTGTTTCAGGATCTGGTTAATAAATAGTTTTAGTTTCATATATTGTAGTTTATTATCTCTATTGTAATGTTGTATATTAATCTTGAATTAAATTATATCTAGCATATAATTCTTCATATTATTAGATTTTCTTTTGTAACAATTTTTCTGTTTCAGGATCTGGTTAATATATTACTTTTGTTTCATATTATATTTCTTTTTATACAATCTTACTCGTTTCTTATAGAGTGTAATATTATGATTAAAGAAGAGTGTATCTTTATTTTAATTCTTATAATTATCTTTCTGTTTCAGGATCTGGTTGGTAGACTATTTTAGTTTCATATTGAATTTCTTTTTTAACTGTTTTAGATTATTCAGATATAGTGTAATATTATGATTATAGAAGAGTGTATCTGCTTTGTAGTTCTTTAAGTTATCTCTCAGTTTCAGGATCAGGTCTATAAATAGTAGTTACTTCTGTTTTCTTATTCTTTAATTGTGCTTCCATATTACTTAATTTATAATTCAATCTATCATTATCTTCCTTATATATTTCAATTTCTTATTTGGCATCATATAAATCTTTTTACAATTATTCTAATTCACCATCATCATTATTTCCACCTCTCAATTCAAATTAATCTTGATTTTCTTATATCTATTTGATATTTATTTCAAGCTATTAAATTTCATTATCCTTTTAATTTAATCTATTTTTTAAATCATTAATCTCTCTTAGATACTTATCTGAATTATCAATAACTTTTGGTTTTGATAGATCCTAATAAAAATGGTTTATATATTTTTACTTATTAAATAGCCATATATTGTCTTTTCCAAATTTCAATCTCTTGACTCTTATCAACCAAAAACTTACTCATCTTATTCATTTCATCCAGTAATTATTCAATCTTTGCATCCTATTACTTTAACTAATTTCATATACAATAAATTTAGTACTTTTTAATCCTTGTTCAAACATTCAGGACAATATTAGGGAATATATTTTTAAGGTGGTGGAGGAGGAGGTAATTATTTTATTGGTTGAGCAGGTTGATTATGCTTTCTCACTTTAACTATAAATTTATGTGTCATATTGGCTCCTTCAGGCAGTGTTGAGAGACCATGTAAAATCTCACCATTTTCTAACTTTCTCTAAATTTCACTTATTTCTTCAGGAGTTAGTTATTCAAGTTATTGACTAACAGCTTATCTCTAACTGTTGGGTTGCTGTTAAATTAAGTCATTCATAAATTTCATTTGAGAATTTGAAAATTAAGATGGTACAACAGTTGGTCTGTATGATGGTGCTTAAGATGGAGGAATTAAAATTGCAGAAGCAGAGCGAGGTACTGAACTTGATCGATCCATTTGTTAATTTATTTAATTAAAATGTAAAGACAAGTTTATATAAGTCCTGAGAGAATGGTCGTTGAAAAATTAGAAAAGTATCCTGCATTAAATTCAGATCCAAATTATGATCATTGTAATGTAGTTGATAAAATAATCAATAGCACGATTTCAAGAGATTGAAGCTGAATTCAAAACCTTAGACATTGATTAAAGTGGATGGTTATCCTTGGCTGAATTAGAATTACATCTTAAGAGAAAGGGTTGTGATCAAAATTTGATCTAAGAAATCTTTAATGAATTAAACACTAACCAAGATTAAAAGATATCAAAAGATGAATTCACACATGGTTATCTAAATAAAGAATCTAATCTAAAAGAAGATATCAAATAGATTGAAATTAAAATTAAACTTTTGAGAACCTAAGAAGAAGATATCAAATCTAAACTAACTTAAACTAATTGTTCATAACTTATAATTACATTACAATCAGGATGTTTAAGTTAATTTTATCGTTCAGAAGATGATGTTATTAAGGCTTATAAATAAATTGAAGTTATATTCCATTGCAATGAAGCTTAAGATGGTATTGAGAGAATAAGTAAACCAAGTCTAAATTGTGAATTTCCTGTTTGGGGAGATAAATTTAACTACTCTCTCAATTAAGTTTCTGAAATTACAATATCAATTGAATTAATAGAAATAGATAAATTAGATAAGTAATCATTAGGAAAAATAATTCTAAAAAAGATTTTGAATTCTGAATTTGACAAATAAGAGAAAATCATTTTTGAAAATGTTGGAGAAGTTATTCTTTAAATTTAATTTATCAAAGATTGGGTAAGAGTTATTATTTTAAATATAATAGAATGAATAAGTATTATTTTAAGTTTCATTTTATGAAAACTGTATTAACTAATATTTAGAAGAAATCAAATAAATTAAGAAGAAATTATTTTTTATGAAATAATTATATACTAATAATAGTTCTATTCATTATAAAAGTCTAAAAATTAAGGAATCATAACCATAATCTATTAGATTATCATAAATTTAAGAAACATCTTAAAAAAATACACATTCCTAATTTCCATAAATTCCAATATATTTAACTCATTAAATGGTTTAAGAAGTATAAGTAACTAATTCAATAAAACCATAAAATTAATTATCTAATAGTAAAATATTTTAAGAAAATCAATTAATAAATAGTGGACAAAGTAAATAATTATATATACCTTCAATATAATAATAAATAATAACATAAATAGATTAAAATATAAAACCTAATTAAAATTAATTAAAATAGGCAGAATCTATTTAAATGGATTATACAATCTAAAATAATATTATAGATGCATTTAATTTATTTAATCATGATTAAACAGAATCAGATGATTTATGTTTAAATTTAGAATAATTTCCTAATGATGATAAATATAAAATGATATATGTATTAATTGGATTAATTACTTTGAATATAGCCTATTCTAGATGTGATTTTTTAGGTTTAATACTTCTTTTATTGACAATACCTTATCAGTCAAAAAAATGGAATCCTTAATAAATAAACTTTTATACATTTGGAATGATTATTTCTGCAATTATGGATATTTATTGGTATATTTATATTCTATTATTAAGGTTATATAAATTTTTTAATTGTTTTTCTGAATCATATTAATGCAATAATTAATATGGATTTGTCTTAGCCATTTATTTATTTTGTTTTCTTGCCTTATTAGGAAAACTCTACACAACATATAAAATACGTTCTTATTAATGATGAACTTTATAATATATATATATATGGAGTAATATATATTAAATTATATAAATAAAAAACAATAATTCTATAAATACTTTAATAACCATATTGTATCATATTAATCAACTATTTTGAAAATAAAAACAATTAATTAAATATGTAAGAATAAAACATTAGATATTCACAATTTCATATTACACATCCTATTCCCGATGAGAATCATATTCAAAATGTTTTTGAATCATTCATTAATGAATATAAGAACTTTAGAATTAATGTACCAATTGGATGTATTACTGATAAATGTTCATCAAAATAAAAGGAGAGGAGTGACTTAAGTGTTTTTTGTGGAGCAGGAGGATATCTATATTTATATTTGAGAATATATGAATTTGTTTAAACTTTAAGTCCTGATATGTAACAATAATGTACTAAAGGATTAACTGATTAAGAATTATCAGAATTTTATAATCCAGAGACATTTTTATCATTAGCATTATAATAATATTAGGCTTTATAACCTTAATTAAAGGCAGATGATGATATCTCATTTTTTATGAGTAACTCAACAATTTATTTATTGGGAGCTGATTTATTTTATTATTTAAAAGACTAAGAGAATTTTAAGAAATGTGTAACTGAAGTATTGAGTCATTTTGGTAATATAGTAGCTTAATCCGAAAAATATGAATAAGAATTGTTGTATGGTATACCAGGATATCTTTATTCTTTGTTATGGTTGCATAAGAAATATTCAAATGAAAAAGATCAATTTTAATTAGACTTATCTTCACATATTCATACTATTTGTTAAATAATACGTAAATTTACAGGGAATGGTATAATGAAATGTCATTTTCATAATAGATCATATTTTGGAGCAGCTCATGGAATATTTGGTGTAATTTAAATGCTTTTATTGAGTTATGAATCATGCAAAGAGTATTTTCATTTAAAAGATGAATAAGGATTACTTTAAATGTTAGAATCTATTTAAACTACATTAGATTATCTTATAAAATTGTATTATTAATATGGGAATCTTCCATCATCAGCTTAAAATGAAAAGAATTTGAAATTATATTAGTTTTGTCATGGGATACCAGGAGCTATAGCACCAATTTTAAAAGCTTATTAGATATTTAATAAATAGGATTATTTAAATGCAGCAATACATATGTGTGAAAATCTATATAAATATGGAATGATTAAGAAAGGTTATGGATTATGTCATGGGATACCTGGTAATAGTTATGGATTTATGTAATTATATAGAATAACTGGGAGTGAAAAGTTGAGACAATATGCTTTCTAATTTTTATAATATAAGAAGAATCCTCATATATATAATGAAATAAAGAATTTCCCATTTAAAGATCGATATAATATTGGAATTTCTGATAATCCATTTAGTTTGATGATGGGAAGTATTGGTGATATGTGTGCAATGATGGATTTCATAAATTATAAAAGAATGCCAGGATATGAAATTTGATTGTTGTATATTTATATAATCATTCATATTAAACTCTTACATTAATAGTTTTATGTTTATCTAAGGCTTATAGTGTTGTTTTTTCATCAATTAATTTTTCATCTATTAAATTTTAAAATGTCTTTTCTAAAATGTGAGCAAATCCTTATTTCCTTCTAATGTTATTTGTTATCAATGTTTATCCCTTACTATATAATTCAATATCTGGTGGTAATAATGTCAATAAAATAGAAATATTATCAGTTCTTTTTACTGTAATTTCTAAAGATTAGATAGAACATTCAGTACATTCTTCTAATCTTTCTTACTATATTACATTAATACCTATTCCTGTTTAATGATTTTAACCATACCATTGAATATAATTATTTAATTGACTACCATTACCAGTTAATATTTTAATGCATTCAACTGTGCATATTGATGCAATAATAGCATTAGTTGAAGCAACAGCAGGAATTATATTCTTAACAACTCCTAAAGTCAATTTATATGTGACTCCTTATATATTAAATTATTAAGCTCTTTCTAGGGCTTTTTGATAAATCCAATTAATATGATCAAAATTATCTTTGTCCAATTTAAGATCAGATTATTCTTTAGACCATAATACTTCATAAGCATATGCTATGCAATGTTCAGGTAATCTTGGAGTTGAAGCAATTGTACACATTTAATATTGTATTTATTTAGGTAGTTAACTTAGTGTACATTCATAACAAGCTGTTTCAAAAGGGGAAATGACTCTAGCTTATCCATTTAATCCTTCTGTTCCTCCATCTATTAAATAATGACGACTTTCATCAATAACTTTATCATTTTCATCTCTTTACACCATTTGAATAACAACTCTATTAATCCATCTCCTGGCTTCAATATTATCTAGACCAGCAATTATTACTGGGAATTATTAATAAAAATTAATGGGAAATTCTTATATCTATGAATAATATAAAAATATTTACTTTTTTTGTATAAGGTATAACTTTACAAGAAGGAATTCTTTTCATAATGAATTCTGCAGCTACTTCTGCCTTATATTTACCAACATCTTTCATTCTAAATAAAAATTATCTATTTAAATTGGTTAAATCTATTGTGTCTAAATCAATAACATGGATCTCTTTAATTTCACTAAGTGCCAATGACTTAAGAATTTCACAACCCAAACCTCCTGCTCCTATAACTAATATTTTTTAGATTGCTAATTCATCTATCATCTCTTATCCATAACATTCATTGTATATGTCTTTTGATAATGGACTGTATGTATTTAAGATAGAATTCATAAATTTATTAAAATTAAGTAAAACTTATCATTTGATCTATTTCCTTAACAATTAGTATTTTTTTATACAAAACATAGACTCAACTCCTGCATCATTTATTTTATGTCTATATGTAAAAGAATTTGCAGAATAATGTGTTATTATAGCTGCTTAATATTCAGAATTGTTGTTTCTTCTTCTAAGTATCTTTTATGGTTAATTAGATTCAATTTAGCCTTTTCCATTGATACAGAAATTTAATTGTTCAGATTACTTCTTAACAAGAGGGGAGAGTATCTATTTTTTTGAATTAGGTTGAGAGAGCACAAATGTTTTTCTGGCATCTACAGTAATAGATTTAAGTCTGAGTTTTTGAACAATAGATCTATGCTTTTATTTGATGATGGGCGAATATGAATGATGGTATTAATTCATTATTAATATTAATCTATGGTTTTTCATATTTATCAAATCTTATCACCAGCAGCTTATCTTAAGGCAAGCTATTCTCTAAGAGTTCTTAAAGCTTTATTGACTAAACCAATAGTATCAGAAACAACTTATCTATCTGAATCTCTATTATTAATTATTTAATTAAATACCTAGCAGATCTAGCATCAGCATAATCTTTAGCAGCTTCTTCACATTAAGTCCATCTATCGGTTCTTCTTTCATGAAGTAAATCAAGTCTTTAATTGGTGTTATCCAATGAGGCTTCAACTTATCTAATTATATCTGAAACACTTGCAAAATCAGATTCAGCATTTGCTAATTCAGATCCAGCTACTGTGAGTGCAATAACCAAAAGTTTTCTTGTTTTATTATATGCTTCTACTCTTTTGTCTTCTGCAAATCTTTATAAACTTAATGAATCACTAACTTCATTAATTAATTTGTCAAATAAATCAATAACTCTAAAAAATATAATTAGAATATTCTTACTTTTAAATTGTACTGTCATCAAACTTGGCTTTGCTTGAAATTTAACTCAATAATTTCATAATTGGAACATATCTTAACATATGTTTTGAATGTGATAATTTTCTTTATGATTCCTTGATATGTTTTTAGAATAATGAAATATGTTCTTATGATAATTCTTTAACTTATTAGGTTGCTTTCTTTTAAACTAATGATGAAGTAGCTTCAACATTTGCTTTAATTATATTTCTTGCTTCAGTTAAAACAGCTATGGCTGTATTGTGATCAGCAGCAATTTCTTCAAATTCTGCATGTTAAGCAGCTCTATCAGCATCTAATTCATCAATTTCCTTTTGATATCCTAAAATAATTAGAATTTAATTTAATACCCTTGACTTCTGCTTTCTTTGCTGTGACTAATCCTGAAATAATTGCTCTTCTTGGATATAAATCACCTTCAAGTCTAGCTTCAAGAGAGATTCTTTCAGAATCAGTGTTAGCTATGTCTTTATCATAAGCTGATATATCGACATTGCATGAATCTTAGAATTCTCTATTTTCAGCATCATCCTCTCTTTATTCTTATTAATATCTATCTTCCAAGTCTGAAAGAGTATTTAATAATCTGTCTAAAGGATCTCCTGTTTCTAATTAGAGATAGATTGTGTCGAATAAGGTTCTTCCAAATGGTGTGGCATCAATTCTATGAATCAATTAGATGTATTCAGTTTCTGTTGTAGCAAATGCTGCACAGGCAAGAACTAATAACAATATCGTTTTCATTAAATAAAATATTATCTTCCTATATTCTCATTGTGATCATTCATCAATTAGCCGTTTTGAATTTAATTGCATATTATCATACACAAACGGATTAAAAAATAAATATATTTAAATATTCTTATCATCTAAAGTATTGGTTCATCAATTTCTACAATAATAAACCATTACTCTTTTACTATTCTTCTTATTAAATCATCTTTCTTAATTATTTTGAAACCATCATAATTAAATTTTTCTAATTTTCTCTATAAAACTTCATCTAATATACATTATACTTATACTAATTGAATAATTAATATATAAATATATTTTAAAAAACATAAGTTCCAATAGAATAAAAAACAAGAGAATGATCTAGAAATGATTAGAACCAAATAAAATTCTAATAATTTTTTTATATTAGAAAAAATTCTTTCGATGCAATAATCAAAAGAAGAAGTTTATTTAGCACTTTTAAAAACATTTATGGAATCATAAAGTGATTTAATTACTAATATTAAGGAATTAATCAAAGAAAAGGATGTAGATTTAGAAGGCGTCAAAAAATAAATTTAAAATCTCTTATAATTAGATTTTTAAGGATAAAAGTTATTATATACAGCCTAAATGAGAATCACTAATGAGCTTAAAGAATTTAACTCTAAAAAATTACCACATATTAAAGTATACAAACTTAAATATGATGATTGTCTGCTCAACCATATATTAATTATAATAATGAAAGGCAAAAATGGAACCCCTTATCAAGATGGCAATTATACCTTTATATTGAAGTTCCCTGAGAACTTTCCATTTGCTGCTCCATCATTTAAATCACTTATTCCAATTAAACATCCCCATATCTATCCTAATTAGAGATTATGTACTCCAACAATCAATGAATATTATGAAATTCAATAGTACAGTTTATTAGAATTACTCTAATCATGGTATGAGATTTTACACAGAGAACCTAATATGTTATCTTTAGCAAATAGTGAAGCAGCTGAACATTATGATGATGAATTCATTAAATTATAGGCTTAATTCTTATCCAATGATAATCCTATTTTAAAATTGTTTAAAATTGATGATCAAGAAGAAGATGAAGTAGAAGACCATTATATGAGCTTTTGAAATTTTTATCAAAATTTGTATCGATAGTTTTATATTTTTGATATACATTACCATTCACCTTACTAATCATTTATAGATTACAGATAATATCTAATTCTAAAAGTTTATATAAGATTTTATTAAATGAATAATTTGTATTCGTTTTTTGAAAAACATTATTAAAAATAAAATAATGAAGCACATTCTTGTATTGGCTTTGATTGCATTCACATATGCTACAACCTTAACAGAAATGTCAGAAAGACTTTCTTAATATGGAGATCATCCTTTTGGAAAGTCTATGGTCAATTTGGTTACAGTTAACATGAAAACTGGTGGTTCCCTAAATGAATTGAAATAACTCTTATAATAAATTAAAGATGAATTGATTGCTCTAACTTAATTACAAGATTCAGAAAATGGCACTTTCACTCGTAGAAGTCAAGTTGATTTGGCTAAATTATAAGCTACACTTGAATAAGCATAAGCTGATTTAGACAATCAAAGATAAGAACAATCAAGTTTAAGCAATTAATTAACTACTCTTTAAACTAGAGTAAAAGAGGGTATAAATATTATTATTATATATGCAGATTAAGCCGCTTTGGATAGAAACAGTAGAGGAAGTGGTGATGCTCAATCTAGACTTGATGCTGAAAATGCTGATTTTGCTACAAAATACTCTGATTACAATGATGCCATCTTAGCTTGTAAGGAAGCATAAAGATTATTAATGAATTTAAGAGGTGAAGGAGCATCTTTAATTTAACTTACGTATATCATTTTTAATTAAAAATTTAGTTAAGATACTAAGAGTAATCTTATTTAAACCAAAGAGAATTTCTAAAAGATCAAAGAAATATTGGAAGCTCATACAAAAAAGAGTTCTTTAACACTTTTCTAACCAATCATTGAAGGATTAGCTGAAATGACAACCAAAGTTAATCCAGAAACTTTGAACAATGTTCTTAGTTTAGTAGCTCGTTTGATCACAGCACTTTAAGAAGGTTAAGATTAATTAGAGTCTAATCATAAAACTCAAGTAAATATATTTAATTAATATTTAATAGGTTGAAAATTTAACAAGATTAGGTGATGATTTAAGAAATGAAAAATAAACTTTATAAGTTTCTTTGGCTACTGCTAATAATAGACTTAAAGAAATTTAATCAAGATTAAATGAATTAGATGGATTAATTAATATTTCAAATGCTTTGGTTGAGGTTACACAATTAAACATTTAAGATGCCACTAAGATTAATGAATTAGAAGATGCAGAATACAGTAATTAAAAAGTTAGTAGGTATATAATATTTTATTAATTTTTAATAGATAAACTGAAATCGATATAGTTGATAGATTAATTGAATACATCAATTAAAAATTATCAGAGTGATTAGATACAATTATATCAAAAATATCATTAATATTATAATGCTATTTTAATAAGAAATTCAAGTTATTAGAAAAATAAATCAAGTTAACATTTCAATATTATTACATGATAATAATTTTTAACCAGGTCCCTGAATTGGAAGATGAACTGGAGAAACTGAAAAATCATCATCAGTATCATCTAATTCAGATTCTTCATAAAAAATATTTAAAAGGGTTTCTCTTTTTACAAATCCTGAATTTTCCTCTTTTATTTTTTTATAACATAAATTGATATCATTTTTGGATAATTAAATATCTATATTTTACAATATTTATTCGAATTTATCCAAGCTAATTTCTTAGTCTTATGAAATTTCATACTAAATAATTATTAAATAATATATTACCTTATTAAATAATTGTATAATTGAAATTGAATTTAATCTAATTTTAATAATAAGAGTATTAAATATATTATCAACTCTAGATTAATCTTGTTATATTGGATTTGATGAACTTATATCTTTAACTTAAGATTATATTGTCTATAAAATTATAGATTTATTTAATTACTTAAATTTACCCCAACCAAAATAATACACATTATAAAGATATTGATTCTGTATTATAATGATTCAATTGATCAAAAATCAATTCAGCATCTTCTGATGTAAATTATTAATCAATTAAATTTAATAATAATTCGAGATCATTAATTTTAAGTTGATTTGATATTCCAATATTTACTATTAATTAATTTATATTAATCTATCTGATTTTAATGATATTTTTTATTTTTATGATAATTTAATGAAAATTATTATCTAATTTTGTAATTGGATTTTATCTAAATATGTTATGACTATAAATATCGATCCAATCTATTCTATCTTTTTCATTTATTTCTAAACATTTCTTAATAAATTATTTGCTTGTATCACTTATTATTGGTTACTTTGGAAATTCTAAAGGTTAATCATAGATGTTTTTTAAAAGCTTAGAAGATGTTTCATTAAACCATGGAGCTACTTATTATTTAATTTATTACTTTTACCATATAAGCATTCATAAAATAAGATTCCTATTGACCAAATATCACATTTATTTGTATAATTACTATTTTATTAAACTTATGGACTCATATACAAAGGTGTTCCAACACGTGAATTTAACATTCTCTGTCTAGACAATTAAGTAGCCATCCCAAAATCTCCAAGTTTAAACATTCCATTACTATTTAAGATGTTTTCTGGTTTTATATCTCTATGTACAATACAATATTTTAATAATATTTAGTATCCAGAAAGAATATCATGTAGAATTTTTAATGCTTCTTATTCTTCCACTCGTTTTTACTTCAAAATCTTTCTCAAATCCCCTTATTTACAATATTCTTATATTAGATAATAATTTGACTGACTTTCACATACATCAAACAATCTAACTATATTTTTTGAATGAAGTTTTTTCAAAATTGTCATTTCATTTACTAAAGCCTTCTATGAATTTGATTCTCTTAAAGTAAAAATAGATGATACCCTGCTAAATTTGCCTTTTTAACAACTTTTATGGCTACCTCTGTTTTAGTACTTTAATTGAGTCCTCTGTAAACACAACCAAAACTGCCCTTTCCTATTATATGACCTGTGTTAAAGAAATAATTTTCAATGCACTTATCCTAATACATTTACAGATATTTTACTATTTATAATATACAAAAATAACAAAAGTATATTAGATTTGAGAAACAATTAGAACGGAATAAATAAAAGACATACACCAATTCTCCTTAACTGTATTATAAAATTATTAATGAAATAGAACCTATAAAACTACAATAAATGGTCTGATTTTATGGTTTATTATAAAATAACACCCTGTGCATGATTACGTAATGAATGTACTTTGTGCATCGATAAATAAAATAAAAATAATAGATTTAAAATTATTGATTAATTTTTTGTTTTTTATACACATCTTGACATTACATACCTATTTTATGTATTCATAACTAATAACCCAATTTTAATAACTGTCATAATTGATAATTTCATGTCATAAATTAAATCATAATTATTAATTAAATTTATTTTATTAATTAGCATTGTAATTTTTTATTATTATTTAATTAATCAGTATATTAAAATATTTAGATCATTCTATTCAATAACAAATATAAATTTTATATATGTAAATTTCTATGTTATTTAGTATAGAAATCTATAAATGTATTATATTATGAACTCAATTCAAAATGAAATGTAATTTTAAAGTATTAAAATTTATTCATTTATAGAGATTTATAAAGCGAATAAAAATACATCTTAGTTTCACTTTAATGATAAATATTTTAATAATATCTTATATTTATATAATAAAGTATTTAAATTTCATTTGTTTTTATAATTATTTTAATAAAATATCTATAAACATAATTCTATAAATAAATTATGAATTAATTAATAAAAATTTTAGAATGATTAGAGATGATTTGATAATTTCAGATCTGATTCGTAAAGTTGTTAAGACAAATGATCCAAAATGCAATGAACCTGATATGGAAGAAACTAAAGATGGTGGTAATACAAATTCTTCTGAATCTGAAGAGGAAGTTAGTGAAAATTAATCAAGTATTATTCATGATTCATGGGAATCGGCTTCATTTTCAAGTTTATATTAGTTTCCAGATTACTATACAAACGAAGAGGAGATTAATTTGATTAGTAGTAGTTAAAATTCAAATTCTTCCAGTTCTAGTTCAAGTTCAAGTTCGAGTTAGACATCTGAGAGTGAAGATGATGAAGAAAGAAAAGAAAACTTGTCTGTGTCAAATTCTGAATGATATATATATTATTTTATCAGCTTTTATCATGCAAAAACAGATTCATTATCTGTAGATGGTACTCATTTCCAGCAAAAAATAATTGCTATGGATTATAAAGTATATTGATGTGTATATATTATGCTTATCAAAATTCAATTGAAAATATCAAATTAGATATTATTTGAAGTGCTATTAATATGCATGTGCATTATTATTTTAAAATCCATTTGATTAAATAGAAAGTGTTTAAGTTATAGATATAAGATGATTTATTTTAATTTGATGATGATTAGAAATCACATGTTTAATAAAATAGTATATTTAATGTGTCTTTGACCAATATTTGAGCAGCATCCTATTATAAAAATTTTAATTTTTAATTTATGAAAGGAGGAGCAGCTGTTTAATAAATTGTTGTGATTGATAAGATATAAATATTATTGAATAAGATTTTTGCATATAGTAATTTAGCAGAGAGTAAGGGATAAGGGATTTGTCCAAATATTTTTATAAGGTAATAATTTTATATGGTATACTAGATAGTAAGATATAATAGAGAATTTAGTTATTCTTTAAAGAATGGGGGTGAATGATGAGATATTTGTAATGGGATTGTTTTTGGTTGATCGTCTAACAGCAAAGAATAAGTTTTATCTTAACCGAAGAAATATTTACAAGTACCTAGTAACATTTATGTTTGGAAAGCCTTCTAATGACAGCCATAATTCTGAGTCTCAAGATGTACGATGATAACCAAATAGTTTAAAATATCTATCCAATCATATTTGAAACCAATAGAGAGGTTCTTAACAAAATGGAAAAAAAGTTCTTGAAGTTAATACAATATTAACTATATGTTAAAACAGAGGACTTTTTCAATTACAGAGCGCGATTACTAAAATTAAAAGAATGATGGTTTGTACAAAACATAACAACTCCAATTTAGAAACATAAATTATATAATATTTCATTTAATATATTCACTTAATTATTCTTAATTTTTTATACGAATTTCCAATACTTTTAAATAACTTTCCATATTTTATGTGCCTCTGCTAATTGCTTTAATATGTTCTGTATGAGCCTCTATTAATCCTTCAAATTCCACATATTTCATATCTAATTTATTGATTTAATTAATAATATCATCAACTTCTTGATCTAATGCCACTAATTAATTAATAGTTTCCTTTTATTAATCATTTAATGCCTTCTCAAGAACATTTACAATTTCTTCAGGATTCTTATCTAGATTTATGATATAAACAATAAACTAAACTTGCTATATTGAATTATTATTCTAATGATTAAAGTGTTTCAGGGTTCATAAATGTAATATTTATATATTTATCGTTTTTTAATTGGATGATTAAATAAGTTATATGGACATGTCTATTATTAGCATGTATAGCAGTAGAAGATGGTCGTTATTTTGAATATATGGAAGTAAACATTAACATAAATGATAACAATAGATAGATAAAGATGAATTTGGAAAGACTTTAATTGATACATTAGAAATCAATATATCAGGTGGATAATCATTAGAGAAAGTAGTTGATTTAATGCGTAATTTGGAAGGTTAAATAGACAATGAATAAAAGGATGATGACATTTCTAATCAATAATTTTAAAAGAAATGTGATGAAGTATATATCAACTATATTTATAGGATTTAACTAATTAAGAGAGTGAGATCAATTAAACATAATTAGCAATTGTTGAGAAATAAGGTAAGTTAGATGAATAGAAAAATGCTTAATAAAGAAAGAAATAAATAGCTAATGCAAAAGATTAATGGTTGAAATAAATATAAGAATTGATATCTTAGAAATAAACAATAAGAAATTAAGAATAAGATAGATATGAATAAGAGATGAATGAAAATTCATATGTTATTTCTGTAATTTCTGAAGTCAAAAAGAAATTTACTATAAATGGAATCAATTTGATATAAATTAATAATCATGAGGCATTAATGGATGATTTAGAAAATGCTGTAGATGAAAGTAGAAATTTTAGATAGAATACAAGATATTAAGAATTATTTGGATTATTTGTTTAAGTTGCAGCCAAAGTTAAAAATGAGGGTGCAGATAAATTAAAATCATTATGTGATGAATTATTAATCAATGTTTCAGACAATATGTCATTAATAAGAAAATAAGAAGATAAAAGAAGGGAAATATTTGAAAAAGAGATTTCATCTTTACAAAAAGATTTACAATTAGTATAAAGTGATAAATCTATGATTGATGCAGGATTAGAATAATTAGAGAATTAAATTTCTATGGGATAAAATGATTTAACAGATTATAATGCTAGAATTGAAAGCAAAAAATAAACTAAAGAAGATAGAAGAAAAGAATGTTCTTAGGCTGCTTATGAATACAAATAGAGTAGAGAATAAAATGATAGAAAGAGATAATTAGTTTCTTAAGTTATAGGTTTATTTAGTGCAAATTAAAGAGAATTTAAAGAATATTTGAGAATTAGAAACGATTGAGATTTATATGTCTTAAATATTTTACAATTTTAATAAATACTAATGTATATTTATATATATAATTAATATCTGAATATTATTCTTAGTTTTACAGATAAATTTTAAATATATATATGATATTAAATAACTATAGAAATAATATTGATAAGTATATGATCTAAATGTTCAAATATTAAATTCATAAAATAATTAATAAATTAAATTAGATGTAATTCATAGCGTCATTCATTTAAATTATAAATGAAACTCTCAGAACTCTAACTATTTATAAACCTATCTTAATAAATAAGTTTTATAACCTTATATTCAATAATTATATATCAGATTTAAAAGATATTATTCAAAAGTTTTAAAAATATCTAAAATTCATATAAAAAATAATTATACTATTAAAACAAACATAACCTATATATTATCTAAGACAATGAATTTTTATTTATTTAGAATTGTTTCAGATTATTAAATAAAAAATGCAGAGTAATATAAAAAGTATTAAGATAAAATTGATAAAATTACACTGCTTAATCTGTTCTATGATAATAAAATGAGCAATCATAAATTGAATATTCATAATTATTAATTTATCTATTTAATATGATTATAAACAATTCTAACTATTTGCTAATGGGATTATGTTCAAAAGATCTAATATATTGTGTACTTAATCAATCTAAAATTCCTGCAATCATAAATTTGATTGTTTTAACTATTCTAATAAGTAAATAATCTTCTCTTTATACAAGTTTAACAATTATTGAAGATCAAATTTAGAATATCTCATTCTGAAATCATACTCTCATTTATTTATAACATAATATCCATAACTTTATTTGGAACTTCATCCATATGGTAAGCTTATTATGTGATGAGCATATTTCAAAGAGTCGATTATTATTTTTTAGCTTCTTTCCCAATTATAATTTACTAATTAGTACTAGAATTAATTGAATTTAAAGTGATTGAACCAAAGACACTTGGCTTTTAAATTTCATCAGCTTCTATTATCATTCTATATTAGTTTTATAGTTTTTTTTAATAAAATGATATAACCTCAGTTGCAGAATCAGTTATGATTAAGTAATTGTTGGAAAATAGTTATATAAAGGTCTTCACTAAAAATTTAGAAGATTTAACACCAAATATATTATTTAGATAGGATTAGCAAATTTCTGGTTAAACGATTTTTACAACTAGAAATAAATCAGAAAATTAGGAATTAATAGCCAATTCAGTGAACAAAGAACTAAAAATTAAGAGTTTTGTTAATAGTGATTAACATTAAGAGGAATCATTAGATTCAGAAATAGATAGTCCAAATAAATATCAAAGTTATAAAGATTTGAAGGATCTTATTACAAATTTTATTTTGAATAAATAAACTTAAAATCAAGACAAATTAATTATAGCTTCTGAAATTGATATAGATTCTGGTAAGAAATAAAAGTATAAGGTCATTATAAATACAGAAATTTAAAAATACTACATTATAGCCTTTATTAAGATTGATTCTGCTATTGTAAGAAAATAACGTAATTCTATAGCAAAATTTAAAACAAGATTGGCCAATAACTTTACTCATAAATTAAAAACATCTCTTAATGCAACATTAGCATATTTATCAAATGCTATTAATGATAGAAATGTAGATAATATTGTATTATAATCGTATATTCATCCATCATACATACATTCAAAAATTTAATTATATTAAGTATAAGATTTACTTGATTATCTTAATAAAGATTAAGATTAAATTGGATTATAAGTAACTAAATTTAATTTACAACAATCCTTAAATTAAATATATGAATTTATTGAATACTAATGTAAAGTTAAAAATATTACTATTAAATTTTTGATAAATGGTTGTGATTGGAAATTGCAAGAAAGGTATCTATTAATTAATATTATGATAATAGATAATTTTATCTTTATTCAGATTGTCAAAAATTTGAAAGAGTTTTATTTAATTTAATTAATAATTCTTATAGATTTGCTCCTTTGAATGGAGAATTAACAATTGATTTAATGTATGATTCTGGAAATAATAAATTACATGTTAAAATAAATGATAGTGGAGAAGGAATTTAAGAAGATTAAATTAATTTAATAAATACATAAGCATAATTACAAAATAAATATAATATTACTAATAAATATGTATCTTCTAAAAATTAATCTAAATTTGGATTAACCTTATAGATTACTAATAGATTGATATATATGTTAAGTGATTCAAATTGTTCATTATAAGTTAAAAATGATAAACAATAAGGAGGTTGTAGTTTTGAATTCTTTATTATTATTAATTCTACATCTAAAGAAGGATCATTAGAATAGATTAAATACTCTAATTAAATTAAAGAATCTAAATAATCATCAATCAAATAACAAAATAAAATAAATCGTTCATCAAAATCTTCTTCTTAAAGATCTATTTTGACTAAGAATTAATTCTTAGATCCTATTGAAGAAGAGCCTAAACCATTAAAACCTAAATAATCTAAAGCATATTAAATTCATGAATAAAAATAATAGAATAATTAAATAAAGAGACCTACTTTATCTGGAATAAGAGATTTATAATTATCTCATGTAATAGATACAATAAATTAAACTGGAACACCACATCATCAAGATAATCGTTACATATTGATAGTTGATGATGAACCATTTAATCATAACACATTAACTTTAATGTTAGAAAAATTAGGTCACAAATAATTCTTATATTGTTTTAATGGATAAGAAAGTATTGATAAAGTTAAATAAAATCCTTTATGTATAAAAACTATTTTTATGGATTTAGATATGCCAATTATGGGTGGATTACAAGTAAATAATATTGATATATTAAACAGGCCACTTAAATATTAATTAAAATGATGACTGAAGGAAAGATAGATTATATTCCAATTATAGGTTGCACTGCTCATGATGATTTTGAGACATAAATTAAATGTCTTAAAGTTGGTATGGCACATGTAGTAACTAAACCTGTTTTTATTAAGAGTTTATAAGAAGCTTATAGATAGATTAGAGATGAACATTTATTTTAAGAACATCGTAGTGTTTAAATTTCAAATTCATTAGATAAATATTGAAATTTACACTGTTTTTTATATTCTTTCTTATGAAAAATTAACATATTAGTTAATTAGAACATTGTAATTATTATTTTTTAATAAATCAATTTTCAATATTAGTAAAAACTGTTTTTAATTCTCCAAATTTATTTATTTAGTTCATGTATTTTTAATTTATTTCAATATTATTGTTATAGATGTCATAAATAGGACATGACATTATTATAGGATGCTTAAATGAAAATTTGATATTAATACTAATTAGTGGAATCCTATTCTTTTTTACCATACGTATTCTATTTAAACATTATAAATAGTCATTTGCCTGAAAATTATTAAATACAATTAATTCATTTACCTCTCCTAAGCTTTTAAATTTTGCTTTATTATATATAGAGCCTATTTTTACGGTTCTGCTTAACTTTGGTCTTCATTTTAACTATTTTATGAAAATTCAAAGGGAAATAATAAGTAGTAATTAGTTTATTACATTTTATCGCTACTCACATTAGTGTTTGTATATAGTATACAATATGATGGTTTTTTAAAATTAAGTATGGCCAGTGAAATATTCTAATGTTTAAGTTATATGATTTACATTGTATATTCAAAGAAAAACAATTAAGAAAATTTAAATATAATACAAGAGATGTTGCTGAACGAAATTTAAAAAAATTGCTTTTTAAAAATTTTTGATAAAAATAGATAATTAATCTTTACTTATCCAAAAACAAGT